TGAAACCCCGGCAAGTTGCTGGCAGTCCATATAGACAATACCAGATGAGATTGATTTATGATCTGATTTAGTTTAAGATAACCGTCTTTGTTCATTATTGTAGAGAATTTCCTGGGATACTACCGGGTTAACTCCAGATGAGTCAGTAGTAGACATTAATATTAGTCATAAACTTTTCTTGCTATCACAAATCCCCTTTATCTCGCCAAATGCAGAATTGCATTTGCCAGGTTGGATTATGTGCTACAATTCTAACTGGCTGAGATAGCCACATTTTTGGTGAGCTAACACTAAAGGTGCATCTACACTATAGAACTGATGCAGTTTGACACCCCTTTAACTGTTATGATTCAGTGCTATAGAATTCTGGGACATATAGTTTAATGAACCATTAGCGCTTGTTGGGAGAAAGCTAAAGATCTTGCAAAATTACAACTCCCATGATTTGTCATAGCAGTTAAAGTGCTGTCAAACCGCATTATTTCTACAGTATAGATGCACTTTGTGCCAGCTGAATTTGCTGAATCCAAATCCTTCCATCTTCAGAATCTTTAGAATTGTTTAGAACTAGTTTAGAACTATCGTAGGCCTGAACTTGGAAAACATTTGTTGAATTAATTATTTGAACTGGGTTGCTGCGAATTTTTTTGGTTGCATGGCCATGTTCTAGAAGGATTCTCTCCTGACGTTTTGCCTGCATCTATGGCAGGCATCCTCAGTAGTTGTGAGGTTTGTTGGAAATGAAGCAGTGGGGTTTATATATCTATAGAATGTCCAGAGTGGGAGAAAAAACTCTTTTCTGTTTGAGGCAAGTGTGAATGTTGCAGTTGGCCATCTTGATTGGCATTGAAAGGCCTTGCTGCTTCAAAGCCTGACTGTTGCTGCCTAAGGGGATCCTTTGTGTGGGAGTTCAAATTCTTTGAACTATTTATTAGAATATCCTCCTGAGCAACTGAATTGCACAGGTGCCCCTACACTTTACCAATCATTTATTTTGAAGTTGGGGGCGGAGGATTCTCTTTCTTCTCCTTCTTGGAGATGAACTGAATTGTACCCATTTGTTCTTTACATTTTATTCATTGATCCCACAGTGGTGGGCACTCAGATAATTAAGTGAAAAGTGTTCTCAAATATCACCACATTTCCTCTCTTAGCTTCTTCCTTTCTCTCCACTCAGACTCCCATTGTGCTTTACACCCATTGCTTCACATACTTTAATAGGTTTGGTTAGAGCTATTAGTAATGACTTTTGATAAAAAAGAAACTGATAAAACACGTGCTCTACTACTTTATCTACCTTTAAGATATAGAATTCTTAAACTCTGTTAGCTGGGAACAAACCTTGTTGAAACTTAATGAGACCTATTTCTGAGCAGATTATGATTATCATAATTATCATCATAATCTTGACCATCATGATAGCTTGATGCGCATTTATCAGAAGTAAGTCCTACAGAGTTCTGTAAGGCTTACCCTTAGGGTACATGTGTTGGAGATTGTTGTATTGGTTTTGAATACATCTATTTTCCTAAGCAGCATAAAGGCAATCAGAAGGTCTTAGGGCTTCACCATCACAGACCAATAAGACCAGGCTACCAGCATAGGTGTTTTGGGCAGCTTTAATGATCATGAATACATTAGTCCCTGTGAATCATTCCTGAATCTTTGCCTCATGCATATCATGTGATGGGAAAAGGACAAAACAACAAAATGAAATGTGCAAATATAATTTGTACAGTGTAAGATTCACAAGTACACTGAGTTAATATGGAGAAGTGTATGTATTTTAAATTGAAGATGCCATGGATTGAACATGCTGAAACAAATACTCTTAATCTTTCAGACCATGCTTCCTAAATGGGAGTGGGAAAGCAGGGGGGATGCAATTATTCTGTTTTATAGAAAAAACTTCTGTATATGCTCAGAGGCCCTCAAAATATTTCTGATTAAGAATTCTCCACTCTTGATCTAAGAACGTGTGGAGCTATATGATTATTGCTGTACTTGCAGGAGAGCCCTGTTTTCTTAACTGAATTAAATCACTCTTTCTTAAAATTAATGAGGAATATTCTCTAACAAGCAAGGTGTTTGTAAGGTGAGTGAAGTGTAAATGTTTGGCAGAGTTGCGTGGGAGGAATGTAGAACAGTGACAAAATGTAGTTGGGTAAGTTGTAAGTTTAAAAACAGCTTTTTCCAACCTGTTCTCAGTTATGTTGAACTTCCATCATCTAGAACCAACAGTCATATTGTGGAATTTGTAGTCCATCTGGAGAAAGTACTATGTTAGAAAAGGCACACATAAAATATCAAAAAAGGAGCTAAAAACAAATGTGCTACAAGAGATCAAGGATAATACGCCCTCAGTCCATTCTTTTAACTCCCACAACTTGTTCTGAAAAGCAGTGATGTGTAATACAATCTGACAAATTGACTGTTTTCAATCATCAATATTAATGGTAACTATGAATATCTCAATGTTAGATTTTGACATGAAATAATACATTTTCAAACTTAACATCCCAAGCTTTCCTCTGGCCTAAATGTGTGGAGCAGGTTTAGATTTGGCATAACCTTTGTTGTCCCCTCTCCCTTCATTCCCCTCTTTGCCTTTTATATTTTTCTGTTGGAAAAATTTAAGCAGCCAAAAAGTTATGTCCGCAGAATGTTCTGTCAGCTGATTTCAAGATTTTACCATCTAACTGCAGTCCTCCCTATCCTTCAAGTAAACCTTATTGAACTTAATAGGGCTTACTCCTGAATTGACATATAAACTGGTTTAAGTGTTTTGCATTGAGGATATAGTTCGACTGTTGTATTTTTATTATTGTCAGGATATTTGGTTTAACCATAAACTACAAAATTTATATGTAAGATTTGGATATGGATTGTTTAAATATATTATAAAATTGAGTGTGCAGTTTATTGTGGAAGCTTTGTTTTGTTGGAAATAGTTGCTACATCCTATGTGCAAATAATAAACTGTAGAATTCATTCATAAGATTTGAATTTAGACTTTTTTAAAAACTCTAGTCATAGCAACATTATAAGAAGCCATTAATGTTGGTTTCTGTCCACATTTCCTCCATGCTCATATAAGATGAAATTCTGTTTTAAAGGTACTGCTTTCTGCAGCATATAACAATTACAAATTTAAGTTGCCTACCATTATTTTGATTGCAAACCTTGAGGGAACCATGATGTCAGTGACCTTGAAATGCTGACTGTAGCCCTTTCTTTTTAGAACGACGGGGGTTCTCCCCACTTTTTAGTATAATAAGCTAAATAAAAGCACATTATAGAATAGAATATGGACACTATACCTGCAGGACGTGTGACCAAAGACTAATTTGTTTCATGTATTTGTAAAATGGAATAGCAGGATAGAAATGTAAATAATTGCCAGCTTGTGTGTCATAAACCTTCTACTGGAATCTTTAAGAGCCAAGAGAAATTGATTTGGAAAAATTTATGGGCATATTAAATTGATGGGCATATTTTAAAATCAGCCTATAGGCACTTGCACAATTAGTCAACAATGCCAAGGAGAAAAGAACATAGGAAATAAACCTATACTGGGTAATGAAAGGAATCCAAGATAACATACAACCTCTCCCCCCCAACCTTTGGGTTTCTTGCAGGCATTAGTTTACTTGAAAATACAAAATATATTTTTGAACACAGCAAGAACATTGAATAAGCAGTATAGCAGTGCCACCATCCTTTAAAAGAGATGAGTGTGGAATGTTCTGTGTATGAATTTTGAAAAGAGCACCATTGTAACATTTTGCCTAGAATTGGCTCCACTAAAGCCTGCTCTATCATGAAGTTAGTCTTGAGACCACTTATTTCAGGTCAATTCAATAAGCTTTGCAGATGCCATATTTGTTCGAATCGAATGCTTGCCTTTTTTGGCTAAATTATATAGCCAAAATGCACATTAGATTAGATGGTGTTAGAATTTATCACGCAAGTCCACCTGTATCCCTTCATCCTCCCCTTTGGTTTTGAAAGCCTTGTGAATGAGGCCTTAGTTGGGAAGTTGCCGTCCATCCATCAGGCTGAGGCTGAAGAGTCTGTCAGCTTCGACCTGATGGAGGGGCATGGTTTCCACTTGCCTGTAGGCTGTTCCAAGGAAGGCAGCAGAATGGCCAACAGGTATATGGAAGCGACACATTACATTCAACATCATTTTTTTTCTTTTTTGCACTGCACACCTTCAAAATTGAGGTGCACATTTGTGAATTATACTCAAGTAAATATGGGTAGTTAATACTTTAATCTTCATTTCTACATTTCTTCTTTTTTCAGCGTGCCTTATTTTTGTATTACTTAGTAAAGTAAAAGAAGGGTTTTTTTGTGAAATCTAAACTTGGCATGAAAAAAATGTTCTTTTTGATAAAACAAATTAGTAGTGTAATATTTTTTTTTACTCTGATGCGAAATCATTTTTTTTTTTGTAGGTGAGAGAAGCACTTACAACACAGGGCTTTCTTGGCAGTGTGTGTGTCTTTAAGCTGCCTGTCAGCATGGCGACCCCATGAATCTCATAGGGTTTTCTTAGACAAGGAATCTTCAGAGGTGTTTGGAATACTAGTTGTTTGAAATATAGTCAACACCACCTACTAGGCTCTGGGAAGAAGATAATTTGGAATAGATATTTTGTGTGTTTAGAGTGTTGGTCCTAGAATAGTGCGTTCTTGGATGTCATTTAAACAAACTTCTGATATTACCGATTTCACCCTTCACTAACTTTTCAGGTCTATTCTAAAAAAGTACACATGTAGTTACATTGCATCCAGAGGGAAGACAAGACTGTAGAACTGGTAAAGATCTGGAAATATTAACATATCTACCAGTAGTTTCATGGCCAATGTTTACCCAGATAGCATTTCAGAAGCCAACCATTTTTGTCCTTCTGCAATATGAATTTGCATCTTTGAGCCATCATCAAGCACAAACCAATAGTGGTGAGTGATATGCCTGTGTTCTTAATCTTTCAGACATCAGCAGCATCTCAGCGAATAAGCCCATGCTCCACATTGACCAGCAGTACTGCTTCGCCACCTGCCAGTAGTCCCTGTTCCACCCTCCCTCAGTCTAGTACCAAGGATGTAATCGCAAAAGATGGCACTTACGGAGCTGTCACAAGCCCGACTTCTACTCTTGAAAGCAGAGATAGTGGCATCATAGGTAAGTCATGTTCTTGGACACCACCTGTGTATTTTGGAATCCTATTGTACAACAAAATATATTATTATTATTTTGAATGTAACGGGTTAAATTGTAGGCATTTGAGATAATCTGCATATCTGTACAAGAGCTTTCTTTTACTCAATGTGCCTATATTCCTGAGGAATTAAATTTGATTTATTTATTGTAACTTTGAGCCCATCTGCCCAGATAATGCAACGTACAGGGTGCATTATCTTGGGGCATTTGGAGGCAACACAAATTGGATGGTGTGGAAGGGCGATCTATTTCACTCTTGTATATGAAGATGACTAAAAGAGCTATCAACATAAAATTCAAAAACATGAGCAATTGGCACTAAGTAAAAAACCAACCTATTAAAAACACAGCAGCAAATAAATTCAAAAGCAGTGAAAAACTCAACATGTCACCTGAGCTTTTTTTCCTGATTTTGTTCACCTGATGACCCCTAATCTCTCTCTTGTTCCTTGGAAGCAAATACTTCTCTGACCACAGTCAGGGTGTTTAGCCTGACCTGAATGTCAATAGCCCAGTAATTTCCTAAAGTGGAAATTACTCTGGTGGGTTTTAATCAGGAGGAAAGATGTTATACCTCTTTTAAACCATTGGCCTCACTCCTACTTTTGATGTTCTTTTAAATTATTCATAAAGTAGCCAATATGTACCTTGGAGGATGTACAGATGCTCAGAATGTACTTTTTACACTGGTAAATTGCACTGGCACTGGAACCCCCATATTTCTAGGGAATGGTTTGAGGAATACCAGTTATATGAAATAACCTTTGTTTTGTCTAATGATCCAATTATATACATAGGTTTTCTGTGAATATATAATCAGTGTTATTGATCATAGCCTATTTCTTTTCTTAAAAAATTGCAAAAGCAGCTTTAAATGCAGTGTTTCAACTCAATTTTTTAAAAATATGGTTGAGAGAATATCATGCACTATTAGAACTATTCAGTATGCTTCTTGCTTAGTATTATTTACCAGATTCATTCTTTTTATGTTTATCTCATGAGGAGAATCTTTATTGTAGCAGCCAGATTTAATAATCTTTACTGGGATGTGCATTGTCCCCATTTCCTGACCTTCAGGGGTATTTTAAAGATTTCCCTATTGTAGTCTGCATTTGGTCGATTTCAGTGTGCAGGGCTTCTTTGAAAGAACATTCTATCTAGGTCTGCTACTCTCTCATGTATTATCTCATAGATAAGTGTACTGGATCTGTATTGTTTATTTATCATTTGATCTGATATGTGTTTCAAAGTATTTTGTGGTGCATTCTGTAATGAAGGTTTTACTCCAAAAAGCCGCTATAAATAAATTTAGTGAATGAAATAAAAAAAATGTCTGTGGTGCTGTCATGTAGTTGGAGGAGAAATTAGTAAACAAGGAGGAAGCTCAAAACTAAATCCTTTGGAACACCATATTACAACTAGCTCCCATTCTTTATTCTTCTTTCAGGCTTTCAACTGGAACCATTAAGACTTCCATTTAGTTATGTACTCTGGCAGCATAGGATTCAGCCTTTCCCCCTTGATGTGCACTTTTCATTGCCTTTTGTTTTCTATTCAAAATAACAGTTTCTTAAATCATACATGCTGGTGAAGTGACATTGATCTAGCTGCCATTTTACAACCCTACAAACAGCTGCAATCACACTTGCATTTCTTATAGGAATGTTTTGTGTTATTTCCACTTGGACTGACATTTTATTTAGTTTAACATTGCTACAGAAAGAATATATTCTATAAAGATGTTACCAAAGGTTTTAAAAACTATTACCCCTGTGCCTAACTCTTCCCACCCACCCCACTACTATCTTATACTGCTTGTGATTCAGAAAACACCTGCAGTAATCCTGAGTCATGATGCATCAAGTATGTCTGCAATTGCATGGACAGATCATGAAGTTTAATGAGTCTTGAAGGATCCTCAACAGAGGAGGGTCTTAAATGGGGAGTTATATAATCTGTTCAAATAATAAAAAAGAGTTATTAACCATAAAGGATAGCTCAACTTTCACAAACACAGTGATGGCACACCAGAAAGGAAATAGATTGAAATGCCATCTCATTCTCTTGTAGTTCACTATCCAGATTCCGTTAGACCTCATGAAAACAAGGATCATCCTCATGAGGCAAAGGTGTGAGATAGCAAGGCTGGCAAGAAGTGGATGCCACATAACTAATGCCTGCATAGAGTTTGAGATAACAGTTCCCAGTTAGCTGAGCCAGTAGGCGTAGTCAGATGTGATGGATATTGCAGTCCCAAATATTTGGATGATGTCAGGTTGGGGAAAACTAGAATAAACCTTCAGTAAAGCTCTTTGTTAATTTGCAACCATCCTAGATTCTGCTGTCCCTTAGAAATCCCTTTGATCACCCCTGTCTTTTTCTGATGAGATCTGCATCAAAATGGAAGACACATTCTGGGAGTTTAATAGCATCCAAAGTTTAGTATTATTAATCCTTCTCTTAGACAGATAGGCACAAACACTATTGAAAAATGGTATTCACTACATTTACAAACATAATAATATCATTAGTGAAATACTTACAAATAGTAAATCTATAGCAAGGGATGATGTGTTATATTTTATTGATGTCTTATGTATTGTTTACGTGTTTAATTGCCATTGATTTTTACTATTCTTAATACGTTGGAAGCCGTTTTTGGGCTGTTGTTTTTGTTTTGTTTTTGTTTTTTGGAGAAAAGTGGGATATAAATATTTATTTATTTATTTATTATACCTTCTTTTGAGGATATCTAACAGAGAAAATGTGTGGGTGGTACTTATTATCGCTAAGAATAAAGTATACACTTCAATGATGAAAGAAAAACTGCATGATTTTAGTATTGGATTATAGGTAACCAGTTCTGAATTCCAGCTCAGCCATGGAATCCTACTGGGTAGATGGCATTTCTGAACAAATTTTGCGGAAAAAAGAACATGAAATGGTTGTCATAAGTTGGAGTCCACATGAAGGAACACAACAATAAAAAAAGTATTGATGACCTTTAAGAATTAGCATGTTTTCCAGCTAGACTGACTGTATAATATTGCTCTGTACACTGTTCAAAGATGTTGTTGAACTTCTGTAATCTCCAATATATACAATGTGCTAAATATTTTAACATTTCAAGAGGAGGGATAATAAACAAACCCCAAACTCACTGTGTTTTTAATGCCCTTTGGTGTTCTTATGTTTCATTAAGTATAGGGGTTTGGGTTTATTCCTCAGATTACAAATACGCATTTGCTGTTTAACATGTTCGATGATATCAAAGTTTGCTTTCAAATGGCTGAATACCCGCTGTGCCATATTTAATAATATATAGTTTGTGTTTTGGCATTTGGATGCAAATGTTGACCTCTTCTAGATACAGTAGATTTTAATCTAGAGGCTGCCCCTGCAATCTGCGTCTGAATGTTTTATGGTATCAAGAGAGGAAACAGCTACTTTCTTTTCTTTTTTTCCTTCTCTCCCGCAGCAGGGTGGGAAGACACTAGTGGATTAGTAGTCTAAATGGTACAGTGGTGGCATTTAGACTATCATAAGGAGCTTGAAATAATATCACAGTTTTTAAACCCTGACAAATCTAATTTTCATCTGTGAACCCACATATGTATTAACTGCTTCCTTTGTTGTTCCTTTCTTTCTTTTATTTGTTGCAGCAACACTAACAAGTTATTCTGAAAATATGGATCGCGCTAAGTATGGAGGGGAAAGCAGTAAAGAATTGGGATCTGGAGGAAACTTGAAACCTTGGCAGTCTCAAAAATCCAGTATAGACTCCTGTTTATATCGAGTGGATGAAAATATGACTGCTTCTACATACAGTCTAAATAAGATCCCTGAAAGGAACCTAGAGACTGTTTTATCCCAGTCGGTACAGTCCATTCCACTTTATCTTATGCCACGGCCAAACTCTGTAGCAGGTAAAAAGTTCTTAGTCTGTGCTGAGCTGTATTTAATAATAAACATTGTGCTCATTTACATTCCAGTGCTTCAGATATTTAAAGCAAAAGTCTCTGCACTAGCTTCCACATACAATGGTAGAGTATATGACTTTTTTTAACTTCTGGTGTTATGGCCCATACTTCAGGAAGTAAAGCCCGACTGCTCATTGGAGGGAAGGATATTAGAGACAAAGTTGAAATACTTTGGCCACATCATGAGGAGACAGGAAAGCTTAGAGAAGACAATGATGCTGGGGAAAGTGGAAGGAAAAAGGAAGCGTGGCCGACCAAGGTCAAGATGGATGGATGGCATCCTTGAAGTGACTGGCTTGACCTTGAAGGAGCTAGGGGTGGTGACGGCCAACAGGGAGCTTTGGCGTGGGCTGGTCCATGAGGTCACGAAGAGTCGGAAAAGACTGAACAAATGAACAACAACAACCAAATTATGGCCCATGACTCCATTTGTCAGAACCTCAGTTTCTCATTGTTTTTATTGCTTGAAATTTACTGAAGGCTCATGCAAAACATAAACTCTGTTGTTGATTGTGTCAGAACTATGTGCACAAATCAAATGCTGCTTTCAACAACAACAACAATTTTATTTCTTAATTATGCTGTAAACACCTGCTCAGGGTGTTTACAGCATAATTAAAATGCATAATTAAAACAAATAAAATACATATTAAAACGTATTTCTATTAAAGATACATATTAAAACTTATTTCTATAAAATACATATTAAAATTCACAAAACAGAGATTGAACACAAGACACAAGTTTAAAATTCATACTTTAAACTGGCTAGAAGGCCTGCCAGAATCATGGTACCAAATGTGCTAAAGATACAGAGTGATGTAACAAATCCAAAGTGTTTCGATAAGGGAGTGTCTGTAGTATTGTAAATTGTAATCAAGTATCAGTATCACTGCTTCAAGGAACAGCTTTTATCTCTCTTGGGTATAATTCATTTTGCACTGAAAATTAATCAGAACTAGATTGAGGATCCACTGCACAGAATAACAGACCTCAGGTAGCAGCTGTACAACCCTATACCTAATTGTACTAATGTACATTAGTGACATTATGGAAATTCACGTTTACTTGAATTTGCTGAGCATCTGAAACTGTATGAAACATTTCCCAAATAGTTTTTGTACATTTTACAATACAAAATAAGATTCTGTGCAAGGAGTTAAAGAGCTGAAAATGATTTCTTCCCACCTGACCCATACTGAGTGCAAAGTATTTATTTATTTATTTATTTATTTATTTATTTATTTATGGCATTTATATGCCGCCCTTCTCACCCAGAAGGGGACTCAGGGTGGCTTACAAGATATTTTTTCATACAATATATTGTATTATTAGCATAGTACAATATCAGTATTATGTATTACTATATTGCACTATACCATTATATTGTAATATTATTAGTAATATTACATGTAATGTAAATATATAATAATAATAATATTGTATTATTATTACTAGTACTATATTGTATTACATTATAATATTATAAGTATTATATGTATATACAATATACTATATTATATTATATTATTAGTAAAGACAAGGTGGAACCTCTGTCTTCACTCTGGCCAGAGCAGCAATATATGTAACAGACAATATATGTAACAGACACAGTTGCATCAGGAAACGTCTCTTATAATCTGAAGAGGCAATGAGAACATGCATCAGGAAGGTAGCAATTGGTTAATAAAAGCATTTTTATATACTGTAAGAGATGTGAGTACAGAAATAAATGTAAAAGCTGCATAGCAGGTCCATCCCTCCCCAACAATCCAGGCTTTTTAATTTTGTTTCTTAAAATATTTCAATTTGGGGATTTTTTTCCTGCTGTTTTTTAGCTGAGTTCAATGTTTAGCACAGAAACAGATGCTATTTTCAATTAATGTTATAGTTAATTTAAAATTCTTTATAAAATAGATTATTATTTTGTAAGTTAGACCATGGGAAGAATGCAGATTTATATTGCAAATACTTTATATAGTTACTAATGATCTGAAATCCAAGTAAAATCCCATTTCCTTTTCTCTAAAATTCTCATTTTTTAAAAAACAAACATTAAAATGATTTTATGTTACTTAGAAATTCTGGGGCAAAGCCTAAAAGCATATAATTTAGAAACCTTGCTGAAAGTGAGCAGACCTGGATATGACTTATACTTGAATAGAAGGCAGTCAGGAAAACCCCATACACTGTAGTTAGTTGCTTAGATATCGGTAAAATGAGGCATTTATCTCAGCAGACCTCCACCTAGACTGTAATGGATTGCCTTATATAGATAGGGCCAACCTTCTGTCTTTTGTATGCAGCATGGTTTTATATCCTTTATCCTCATTTTCCCTGTTTATTTTTAGCAACCTTTCTGAGAGTTTCCTTCATGAAGAAGCTTTGAGGCATAGTTCTTTTGTGACTGCTATGCCCCAAAAGGCATTAGTGCTTTTACATAGCTACTTTTTATTTAAAAAAATTAAGTCCTCAGTATTGCTACTTAGATATTCCTTTGCCACACAATGAAAAAATGAAAAGTAAAAGTTCAGTAAATACTTTTCTTTGTACGAAATTCCCTGATACCAACAGGATACAACATGAGTCCAACAGGATCCACTCAACCTGGATAAGAATCAAGGGATTTTTCTACACTGTTGAATTGATGCAGTTGGCACCATTTTAACTCCATGGCTTAATGCTGTGGAATTATGGTTTGATGAGGCACCAGCACTTGTATTATATACATGATCATCATTATTATTGCCTCAAGTATAAAAAACGCTCTGCCATGAAATTTCCTTAGAACATCAAACAGCATTTGGTGTATTCTCTCAATATTTTCCCCCGTCCTATAAAACCGTGTCTTGTAAATATTGCATTTACCTCAAGATTCCTAATACAAAAATGTTTTAGAGTAATTGGAATAAGGATAAAATATATTTTAATATTAATATGTACAGTTGCATATTACATTTAGCTTTATTTTTTCACTATGGTGTCAGTTAAAACTGAAATACAGTGTTCCCTCGCTACTTCGCGGTTTGCTTTTAGCAGACTCGCTCTTTTGTGGGTTTTGGAAAATATTAATACAAATATAAAATATGAAATATTTATGTCCAGTGGAGGCCAGGGACCCCAGAAGTGCAGCAGCCTGAGGTGTGGTGGGGAAGACCTGCTTCCTTGGCCTCCACTGACCCTGGAAGTGCGGCGGCCTGAGGTGCAGCGGGAAAGGCCTGCCTCCCTGGCCTCCACAGACCATAGAAGTGTGGCGGCCTGAGGTGCAGCAGGGAAGGCCTGCGTCCCTGGTCTGCTGCAGCCTGTGTGGCTCCGGAAGCTCAGGTGAGGTCTGCGGAGGCCAGGGAGGCAGGCAGACACCCAGGAGGCGGGTAAGGAAGCGCAGGTAAGAAAATAATACATAAAATATATAAAATAATATATAAGTATTAAAATTAATATGGCATCCCTACTTCTCAGATTTTTACTTATCGCGGGTGGTCCTGGAATGGAACCCTTGCGATAAGTGAGTGAACGCTGTACACTGAGGAAAAATCGGTGTGGAGGTATATCTGTTATGCATCAACTTAGATGGAATAACTTTATATATGATATTTCTTAGGATAGTGTGAATTTGCAAAGGATTGAAAACCTTTCCTTGAAGGCTGTTGATGTATACTGTAAATTATAAGCTTTAACCTGATGGTGAGGAATTTCCCAACTCACTTACTGTTAATGGAATCAAAAGCAGCAAAAGATGAATGAAAATGGCACAATAGAATATGATGAATATTTTCCATCTATTCAATTACATTTAACATACCCCCCCCCCCCCAAATCCCACCCATAACCTCCCCAGCAGCCTGCCCCTCATCTTCCTTCAAATGTCTTGTGGCAGAGATATGTCTTCAACCTGCCTATTTTTTTTTTCTTGGAAGGGAGTTCCAAAATCTGGAAGAAGCTGCCAAAAAGGCTCCCCTGTTCCCACCAAATGTGCTTGAGTAAATGGTGGGACAGTGAGATGATCATAGAGTTCTAGAAGCCTCAGAGAGAGAGATTGGGCCTTCAAATAACCTGGACTCAAGCTGTATAAGGCTTTATAGGTCAAAACCAGCACTTTGAATTGTGCCCAGAAATAGGTTGGCAGCCTGCAGAGCTATTGCAACAGGGGAATTGTACACTTTCTAGGCCAAGCCCAGTTAATAACAAATAACTTTCTGGGGTTGCCTGTATACAGCCCCCCGCTCCCAGACACACTTATATAGCTGTCTTGAAAAACAATGGCAACCCACAATAATAGATATAGAATGACTAAATTCTTGAACATTGTGTGCATGTTTACGATAATGTAATGAAATGTGATTGATCAAGCTTTTCCTCCCATTTGCAGCCACTAGCTCAGCCCACTTAGAAGATCTAGCTTACCTAGATGAACAGCGGCATGCTCCCCTACGGACATCTCTCCGGATGCCTCGGCAGAGTATGGCTGGTGCTCGCACACAACAGGACCTAAGAGGTATGGGTGATGTTCTTGTATTGTACAGAAGTGATTAGCAACTTCTTTTCTTTTGTCTAGTGTGTTAAAAACAAAATCACAGACTTTAACTTTTAACAAAGTTGGATTTCAAAGAGTAGGCAACACCAAACTCCCTACCATTGATGCCTAATATATTCACAAGAGGCATTTATGTTCTGAGGAGAAATATAGCCTTATCTCAGCTAAGCCCAACAATCTCATTTTTATGGGAATATTTTATTAGAGCTATCCAAAACAATCCCAAATAACGTGTTTAGGGAAATAATATTCAAATCCAGACTGAAATAATTATCAACATGTGCCAGTTCAGTTTCCATTATTCCAATTGATTTACTTAATTTAATTGAAGACAGAACAGACTAGCCAGAAAATTATACCAATTTTGGGAGGCTTTTGGAAGAACACACTACAGTCCAGAACTGGAAAGTATTGTTTCTGTGTTGATCACTTTTGCATCTCTCTTCTGCTTTGTCCTCTTCCAACTCAGTATCTGAGGCAGCACTTTATATATCTGATGAAGCTGGTTGCAGTCCATGAAACATATGATTAATAAAACATTTTCTTCTTTAACATGCTACCAAACTCATTGTTTTTGCTGCAACAGTGCAACATAGTTATCCCTAATTGATTTTGGAATCACATAAATGTATATTTTTCATTCCTTTCCAGTACGCTTTGCACCTTACAGACCTCCTGATATCTCTCTGAAACCACTGCTTTTTGAGGTGCCTAGCATCACCACAGAATCTGTATTTGTTGGCCGAGACTGGGTGTTCCAAGAAATTGACGTACAGTTACAGAGTGCTGATGCCAGCGTGAACAGGGGTGTGGTCATTGTTGGGAATATTGGCTTTGGCAAGACAGCAATCATCTCAAGACTGGTTGCACTAAGCTGTCATGGTACACGCATGAGGCAGATTGCCTCAGACAGTCCCCACGCGTCCCCGAAACGTGAGTGAGGAGATGTACTATTTATAGTCATCTGTTGTGTTCTTATGTAGATTATGTATTACATGAGAGGAACATGCTCCCATGTTAGTTATGCTCCTTTGATCACTTTTCACAGGAACCCAAGGCCGTCAAGTACCTCATATGGCTGGATACAGTTGTGCAGAAAGTGCAATTTTAAATGAAATATTTGGCTATTTAAATGATGATACTATGCAGATACCTGTGAAGGGTTTGTAGTAGCCATCCCAAATTTCTAGACCTAATAACCTGAGATAACTCACATTTCACAGTCAAGTATAAAATTATAGTTCGTTTGGCCAGAAGTACAGTCTGGATTGCTCTTTAGTTATATTTGTGCATCCAGAGTTTCTGGATAATAAAACAATCAATTAAATGTTTCACAATGGATGTCATGTGTGTGATGCTCCTTTCTAGGTGTTCTAGGCCACTGCTTTTTAAACTGTGGATCCTGACCACAAATGGGATCCTTTTTGCTCATTGTTGGGGTCATGAATTTTTTTTGCAGCAGTAAAAGGTTTCTGAACACCACCCATTTACACAAATCTGTTAGCAAGAATGTGCACTGTTTATAGTGAACTCTGGAGAAACTATTCATCCTGTTAGCAAGCCTTGCAAATATAATTTGTTCTCAGTAAATGTTTGATTTTTATACCTAATTTGTATGTCAATATAACTCCAGGTCACATAACATTTTCTCAGACTGAAATGGGTCCCGAGTGGAAACGTTTAAGATGCCTTGTTCTAGGTTGTCCTTTTTCTTGTATGATACCATTCAGGTGTATTGCATAATATCCATCTCCCTCTCCCCATGTCTATGTGTGATTTGTGATTCTTATTTTCCATTAATGCCCTTTGACTCATATTAGCATTGTATAAAGAGAATTGATGGCCTCTTATTATTTATTTATTTATTTACAGTATTTGTATACCGTTTTTCTCACCCTGAGGGGGACTCAAAGCGGTTTACACATAAGTAATGGCAAAAATTCAATGCCAGTACAAACAATTACAATTATACTCTACAATTATACATAAATTAAATTTAAAAATACATCCATGAGCAATAAAACAACCATTAAAAAGAAAACAGTCTTGTCCGTCAAATAGCTGTTCCAGTCATTGTCTTTCCAAAATGCTGCATACATTTACTTCTACTGCCCGAAACCATGATTTAAATTTTTTTCTAAAAGCCAGGAGGGAGGGAGCGGATCTTACCTCATTTGGGTGTAATGAGGAAGGCCCTGTCTCTTGTCCCCGCCAGGCGCATCTGTGCTGTTGACGGGAGCAAGAGCAGGGTCTCCCCGGATGATCTTAGTTGATGCCTGGATATGGTTTCCTTGCCCAGCCCTCTTTCAGTTCTAGGTCTGTGCTCATTTTTTAAAGAAACCTATTGCTGAAGTTGTGCATTTGTAGGGTGCTGTAGAATATGTAAAAGTTGGCATATTTTTATCTGGAACAGAACTGGAACATATTCAAGAAAAATCCTTTCACTACATTCATAATGCATATTTTTAGCCAGCCACCTACTCCCTGGTTTGTGTATTGAACACGAGATGAAGATCAAGTTAAGATGTTTCTTCCCTCCCCACATCTAAACTTGACACTTAGTATTCAACAACGTATCCTTAAAACACTACTTAAGGTCTGATTGTATTCTGCTAGGATTAAAATTCTTTGAAACATTCAAGTCTATTGACCCCCCCCCCCCTTCCAAATCTAAGACGATGTTGGAATATTCTATAAGGGATAGAATAATGTTCCTGTATCTGTCACCATTTCTGCATTTGCAGATGTTGATGCAAACAGAGAGCTTCCCCTCACCCAACCACCTTCTGCTCACTCCTCCATCGCCAGTGGGAGCTGCCCAGGAACCCCAGAAATGCGTAGGCGTCAGGAAGAAGCTATGCGGAGGCTTGCTGCCCAGGTATCTTTTTTTCTTTTAAATGTTTAATCTTCATTATCTTTTAAAACTATCTTTGCCCAAAACATGGATTTGAATGTAGGAAACCAAATGCTTTCAAGAAAACCAGCTGGCATACTTTAAATGCTTCTACAAATAATAAAGATCTATCAATCAATCAATCAATCAATCAAACTGGGAATAATGAAATCCATGTTCCCCATCATAAAATTGCAGAAATGTTGTGATGCTACTACAAGGGTTCCTCTAATGTCAGAACAGCGAACTCTCAGGGGTATCACTTCACCACTGTCAAATGGGAAATTTTCCTTGCAAGGTGAAATGTTTTGTTTGTTTGTTTCTAACTATGACGGTCACTACCCATTTAAACTGATGACAGTTTGTTTTTCTGGGAAGAAGAAAAATTGAAATTATATTACCACAGCAAATTCTAATCCCTAAACTGCTTTAAAAAGAAAATTGAAAGCTTGATTCAGTTTTGACTTATTTGGTGCAAATACATGAGAACAGTGATTAAATAAATCCCTCCATGCTGTGCTGAAATGAATCTCTGTTCCAGCTCAGATCTTGGGAACAAACTTTCCTCTTTCATATTTTATTACTCTGTTATGAGAACCATTGGGATTTTTTTCACTAACGCCTTCAGATGTTTTAGGTCTCTTTCACACTAGACAGTTATAACATTTTGATTCCACTTACATTCCTATGCCAGAGAGTTAAAAAGAATCTGAGTCCTAGACTTTTCTCTTAATGTTTATAGTACTCAAAGAGAATAGGATTTGTATGTGAAAGGTGTTCTATTTCCATAGGGTTTTTTTCCTATTTAGTTGTTTAACAACCTATAATGTGATGCTACTGGACCAGTTCTTCACACATATAAGCACATTAGTCTGGATTCTGTATGAACATAATTATGAAACATAATTATGGACCCAACAGAAATGTTCATACAGAATCCAGATTTGTGTGTTTGTATTTCCATGTAGCTTGGGGATTAAGTTTCACATAGTGGAGATGTTTGCCTTAAATAGCTTTGTTACATTCTGTTGAGAGGAAAGCACTGCCATCACATTTGCCGACCTTAGTCCTTCTTATCTCTATACGACTTCTGTAAGTATCAGGCATTTTTGAATGTGTACATAAGCCTTTGTCTGCATATATCTTTCATATACAGCACCTAGATTCCATAGTGGGTCATAACCTTATTAACATAACAGTTCTGACTGTTTTAAAACAGTTATAACACTTTTCAGTGTAGGCAATCATTGCTAAAGTGAGAAGGAAGAACATAGTTTCTTTAGTGAACTTTGAGAAGGCACCTCTGCCTCATTGCATCAAAACAACAATCAAAACAACTTTTTAATGATCTACATAATTTTTAATTGCACATTGAGAAGCCGTAGTGATCACCAGTGTTATTTGGTGATGCAGATGATGAGATCATCAAAACACAAAGAGGAACATGTGTTCCCACATCTTCTTAAACTCTTTTGTTTTGAAGTGTCAGTTTGGCAAAAGTTCCTTTACCATTATAGTCTTCCTTTATATCTTAATATTAATGGATTAATTATGTTTGTATACCACCATTCCATTTAAAAGCAATGCTTACGGTGGGTACCGAGCATCATAAAACACTATAAACCCATTAAAATCATCACAAGAAAAACCTCTATGTTACAAAATTTGAAAATTTGTCTGGTTTAAAACTAGTTGTTATACTCCAGAAACTTCGTTTTTGTGACTGTCACAAACTGTGTTGAATTGGTTGAGACTCTTATCAGATATTCATTGAAAAACTATAGCAAAATGTGCTGCAGGATGTCCCGCAAAAACAAAGTTTTTGCTGTGTAATAAACTGTTTCCATGTTTCTATGATAGAAGCAATTAGGAAATGACATTTATAACCCAGGAACAAAATCATGTTACATAGTGTAATTATCAATAAGTGTTCAGGGTAAAATTCTGCTTTGTTCATAGTCAAGTAAGCAGATAGGTTTGATACTAAAGAAGCTGGAGGGGAGACATTGTTCCCTTGATGTGAGTGTCCATGTAATTCTCTTACTTGATCATTCCTCATCTTTTGAAATACAGCTTTTTTTTTTAAAGGCTCAATCCACACTAACGATTTAATGCAGTTTCAATTTGTTATTGAAAATAGGAAATTCTGGTCCCAGTTTGAGACTCAGATGCTGATTACACAAACCTCAGAGCATTGATGCATCTTAAGGGTGTTCTTTTACATGCTTTTGTAGGAGTGTGTTGTCTGGCTGACACAATTTAAAGCTAACTTCACACAATTAAATGGTCAGTGTAGAAGGAGCCTGCGTTTTCTTCGTTAATAAATCCTATAAGTAGTGTTTCCAAAAAGCAGCTCAGTATTTCTCACTTTCTATGTCAGCAATGAACAATGTTTTACTTCTGAAATGCCATAACATTTGTTATAAATGACCTATTCCTCTTTTCACCCACATCCTCTCTCTCTGTCTTAGGCATTTAGCATGGTATCCTTCTGCCAAGCAAATGCTGTTTCCATTCACTGGTTATTGTTTCTCTTTTGTAGGTTGTTGCGTATCACTACTGCCAGGCTGATAATGCCTACACCTGCCTTGTGCCAGAGTTCGTACACAATGTGGCAGCCCTGCTCTGCCGCTCACCCCAGTTTGTTGCCTACAGAGAACAACTGCTGAGGGAACCACATCTACAGAGCATGCTTAGTTTACGCTCCTGTGTTCAGGATCCACTGGCTTCCTTCAGGAGGGGAGTTTTAGAGCCTCTGGAAAACCTTCATAAAGGTAACAACAGAGTTTACTTCAGTATCATCATATGACTCCCATCATTTTGAACATAAATTGAATATATTTTTCTCCCATCTCCCCACCCAGAGCGGAAGATTCCTAATGAAGATTTTATCATATTGATTGATGGCCTAAACGAAGCTGAATTTCACAAACCTGATTACGGGGATACAATAGTATCGTTCCTCAGCAAAACGATAGGGAAATTTCCATCCTGGTTGAAGTTGATTGTAACGGTTAGAACAAGTCTACAGGTAAGTTGAAGGGTTGTTATTACTCTCTTTAGTACAAGCTATGGTTTTCTTTTGATAATAAAAATAGGTACCTCTAGTGATCTCTGTTGTGGTGGACTTCTCTGGTTGGAAGGACAGAAGCAGTGACCAGTTCTGAGAGGCATGTGCATTGCTTTTGAATGCATCTGGCAGCAGGAAGAAAAGTAGTTGAAGTATTTGTTCTCCCATGTGGGAAATTAATGAACCAACCCAGTTCATACTGTTGTTGCCCTTGTGTGCCTTCAAGTCAAGCTGAGAGTATGTGATGTACACAGAGTCACCAGTGTGTTTCCATGGGCAAGCGGAGAATCAAATCCTGTTATCCAGAGTCATACCTTGATGCCGACATCATCTTGTTGGCTATCTCACATTCCCCTACACACCCACACAGTAAAAATTAATGATCTGTACTATACCAAAAAAGCAGCATAACGTGTTTCAGCAAACTTTTTATTCAAAACCTCAAATATACACATAAGAAATTAAACAACCAGATTGGGTAAGCCTTACATACCCTACCCTGAGGAGAGGCAATTTACAAATAAAATCTATTATTATTATTACCATTATTTATGTATACAAAAGATATTTGTACCTTCAGGAGACCACTTGAAAACATCTTGCAATTATTCCCTACCACCAGCAACTCCCTTTTTAAAAATGATTTTTAAAAGTGATCAAACATGTTGGGGTTAGCTTTGTAGGCTTATTTTCTTTCCCATTTTCTCTCATTTTTGTTCATGGTTTCTCAGTAAGGAATGATAGAGGCAGCTACTTGCCCTTGGTAGATGTACACATTTGCCTGCAGTAGATTTAGATTTCTCTCCCATCTCACACTATTGTAGTTTTGTGGGCACACTACTGCAATTCAACAATAAAAGTCTGGGTGTTTCCAGTTTTTCTTCACCATCAACTCCATGTTAATACTGCTAAAGACTTCCAGCTAGATATAAGATGAAGTGGAAAAGTAGGGGCTGAAAAGATATAAAAATATTGTAAAAATGAGCTTTTGTCAAAGACTTTTGAAACAGAGGTTTACAATGTCAGAGGATGAAGTAGCCTCCTTATTATAAAGATGTCTGAGCAATTTCTAATTATAATTTAGAAGTAACAGTTGCAGTTACTTCTGGTATATTTTATGAGATTTGATTCATTTACCAAAGGTAAAGTCTAATATCTGAGGAAACAGCTGTTACAGCTTCTTTCCAGGTAATACATTGTCTAACATGAACAAGAAGCCAGAGATAGTATTCCCCTTGTTCCTCATCCTAAGTTATTTTTAAAATTCCTCTAGTTTGCAAAAGTATCTTTTGTATACATCCATATAAATATATGTCTCTCTATATATATATTGATTCTATATGTTGTTAATGTGACAACATCAGTACCTGTATTGTTAGTGATAGTGACTATATTTATACTTTCTTCAATTTCTCTAGAATTTTCCCTATTCTTTTTTTTCCTTTTAGGAAATAATTAAGTTATTGCCCTTCCATAGGATATTTCTGGACAGACTAGAAGAGAATGAAGCTATAGATCAGGATCTCCAAGCCTACATCTTGCATCGAATACATAGCAGCTCTGAGATACAGAACAACATCTCTCTTAATGGCAAAATGGACAACACAACCTTTGGCAAACTCAGTTCTCATCTCAAAACTCTGAGTCAAGGATCCTACCTGTACCTTAAACTCACATTTGATCTTATAGAGAAGGGCTATTTGGTGTTAAAAAGCTCCAGCTATAAGGTAGTTCCTGTCTCCCTTTCGGAGGTTTATCTACTGCAGTGCAATATGAAGTTCCCAACACAGTCTTCCTTTGACCGGGTAATGCCTCTCCTGAATGTGGCAGTAGCATCTCTGCACCCCTTGACTGATGAGCATATTTTTCAGGCCATCAATGCTGGGAGCATTGAAGGTACCTTGGAATGGGAGGACTTTCAGCAAAGGATGGAGAACCTCTCCATGTTTCTTATCAAGCGCAGAGATATGACTCGGATGTTTGTTCATCCATCTTTTCGAGAATGGTTGATCTGGAGAGAAGAAGGAGAAAAAACCAAGTTTCTCTGTGACCCTAGGTAAGTAATGTTCTCAATTTTGATGCAGAAGAATGGCTGAGGAATCACAATATTTAAATGAACAGTGAAAATGGTAGTGAAAATGAGCGACAACTTTCAGAAATAACAACCATTTATTTATTTATTTATTTATTTCGTATCGAAAGCATTGCATTAATTAGTATAAAACTGATAAAAATAGAAGGAGCACAGGTGGCTAAATATCTTTTGACCTAAAACGGGCAAAGGCATTGTCTGTAGCCTCCAACAATTCTTCCTCTGTACATGAAGCAGGGCATAGTGGATCAGCATACAGATGCAGAGTTGTCTGTTCTGCATACAACCATTAAAAACAACAGATAGACTTATTACTAGTCAAAATAAGTCATTGATTGCCTTTCCTGGAGGTCTTGTATTTTAAATAGATTATAACCCACAAAACTGTTTCACGTCCAAAGACAAACCTCAAAGGGGACTCAACGGCTTAAGTTTTGGCAATATTCAATGCCATATTGCAATACAAATATAAAAATACAACACAATTAAGCAGTAAAATCATATAGTCATCATTCGTGCTGCTATATATATATATGTTGATACCATATTGCATTATTCCCCAAATGCCTGGTTCTACAGCCAGGTCTTGACTTTTTTCCTGAAAACCAGGAGGGAGGGGGCTATCTAATATCACTGGGGAGAGAGTTCCATAGCCGAGGGGCCACCATTGAGAAGGCCCTGTCTCTCGTCCCCACCACACATGCTTGCGAAGAAGGTGGGACTGAGAGTAGAGCCTCCCTGACAGATCTTAACACCCTAACTGGTTCATAGGGAGGGCTACATTTGGACAGGTAAGTTGGGCCATAACGATGTAGGTTTTGCACTCACTATTATCAAAATAATAAGTGCAAAAAGCCTGGAAAAAATATACAAGGATTGTAGTAATATGTTAGAGCAAAATGCCATAGTGCCAGCAAACATTATACATTTCCTTTGGTTTAAATATTTCCATCTCATTAATTTAATCCCCTCCATTTACTCATTCAGTCCACCATCAAATCAAACAAAGTTGCTGATGCCTCCACTCTTTGGTGGTTCTGAAGGAAGAGAGAGCTAAAACACTGTACAATAAAACACTGGAGCCATGATTCAGCTGATCTTGAGAGGAGGCTGAGAGATACCCCTAAAAGCAAGGTGCTGGATGCCTCCATAGTCATTACTTGCAAGGATAATGTACCTTACTTTTCCATATGTAGTGAATGTAGGTTGGCAGCTACAGTTCTTCCTGTTGGAAAAAGTGGTCTTAACACTTGTATTTATTAAAAGCCAATTAAAATTGCCTTCCAAGTGTAGAGTTTTGGCAGTAGGTCCGCAGGTGATTTTAGAGACCTATTCGGGATATGCATGTTCTTTCACATTGAGGGCATTGATTTCCAAATGGAAGGCAGTCCTGACAAAAGTTGGCTTGACGCACCTTCCTCTTGACATATTTCTCCCTTTTGCTCTCCATTCTTGCCTCTTACTCTTGTTCTCCATTCTTGAGGCACCACTGTTGGTAACAGTTGACCTCCAGTCAGAACTCTTGAGGGCCAGGGCTTCCCAGTTCTCGGTGTCTATGCCACAGTTGTTAAGGTTAGCTTTAAGCCCATCTTTAAATCGTATTTGCTGTCCACCAACATTCTGTTTTCTGTTCTTGAGTTGGGAGTAAAGTAACTATGGCGTAGACACCGAGAACTGGGAAGCCTTGGCCATCAAGAGTTCTAACTGGAGGTCAGCTGTTACCAACAGCGGTGCAGCAAGAATGGAGAGCAAGAACAATGAATGTCTTGATCCCTAAATACTCTCTGCTTCATTTGGAAAAATGCTGTACTCACAGAATTTAATCAGTGTTGTATTTCGGTGTTGACATTGACCTTTGTGGAGAGATGTCTGCCAAAGTGGCGAAAACAGTCAACATTTTCTAATTTTACACCATTAAGCTGTATTTCTGGCATTGCACAGGGCTTGCTGGTAGAACACTTTGGTTTTCTTGGTGTTCAGTGAGAGGCCAAGCTTTTTGTATGCTTCTGTAACATTTTTAAAAGTAGCTTGTAGGTCTTCTGAATAAGCACAGATTACATTATCATCAGCATATTGGAGTCCTATAACAGACATTGTTGAAGTATCATAGTGATGAAGATGGAAAATAAGGGTGGGGCAATAACACATCTTTGTTTGACACCTGATTCCATCTTAAGTGGGTCACTTTGGGAGCCATTGCTGTTCAAGACTGTTGTCATCATGGTGAAGCCGCAGGATGTTCACGAATTTGTCAGGGAATTTGATTTTCTGGAGATGGTCCAGAGAGCATTGTGATTCAATGTGTCAAATGTCTTTTCAAGGTTAATGAATTAACCATGTACAGAGGCTGATTTTGTTCCTTGCATTTTTCTTGGAGCTTTTGTGCAGTGAATATCATATTCACTCTTCCTCTGAAAGGGCGGAAGCAGATCTGGGATTCTGGGAGGATGTCTTCTGAAATAGATAGAAAGCAGTTTGCAAGGATTCTTCTAAGAATTTTCTCAGTGGAGGTTAAAAGGGAGATATCACGATAGTTTCCACAGTCTGTTCTTTCCCCACTAGAGTGGTGCTAGTGGCATCCTTGAAGTCTGCTGGGATCTTCTCAGTCACCCACACTTTTTCAATGAACTGGTTGAATTATTTTGTCAGCTCAGATCCATCCTCTTTAAAGATTTCAACAGGGATCCCATCAGGGCTGTTGGCTTTGTTATTTTTAATTTGCCTACAGCTTTGCTGACTTCCTCCAAACTAGCAGTGCTGCAAGCTCATCCCTGGTTAGCTGTTTCAGGATTTGCAAGAAGACCTCTTTGACCACATCAGAGCTTTGGTTGAGGAAGTTATGGTAGTGCTCTTTCCAGTGTAGTGCAATTGATTTATTGATTTTTTGTCCTTTAGAAGTGTGGTTCCATCTGATGAACATAGAGGGTGTGTGCCTTGATTTGGTGGGCCATAGATAACCTTTGTGGGCTTTAAAGAATCCTTGTGCATTGTGGACATCTGCGAGGTGTTGGATTTCTTGAGCCTTTTTTGTCCACCAGATGTTCTTGAGTTCACTGGTCCTTCTTTGGACCTCAGCTTTTGCACTAGTCTAGATCTGTTTCTTAGGAACACAGTTGGTGTCTCTTTGCCATATTTAGAAGGCTCTCCTTTTCTTATCAATTAACTGTTGGATCTCATCATTTTCACTTCACAGAAGAGTTACTTAAGAACTCAATAGAGATTTCCTTCTGCATTGCCATGGTGCTCAATATTCATAGATATAATTTATAGCTATGGAATTCTCAAATTGTTGAAGCCCCAGTTGTTTACCATTTCATTAATCTGGGATTAGTCAATATTTTATGGCTGATGGTGTTTAGCTGGTACTTGAGCTGTTAGGATGCACTTCCATAGTCCTGTCAGATTTTTTCCCCCAGGCTAAAGTGAATGCCATTTTTTTAAAGGCAAAACTGATTTTTTTTTTCTGCATAAAAGACATATCCTACAAGCCAAGTCGAAATGTTTAGCCCACATATGAAAATTACTGAATTGCTCAAAATGTATCTTTTAAGTTGATTCTTCAGTCTGCTATAGTTAGATCTTTGACAGGAATCTTGGCAGACCATAAGCAATTGTTGCTATTCTTGATGCACATTGATCTGAACGCAGAGTGCAATTCAGAACATGTACTGATAAAATTTTCAGGCTATAGTGCTTTCTTGCCTTCTGGGTAGAAATGAAAGTCTGTCTCTTTTACTAACTATAGATTTAATTTTTAAAAACTGCACAAGATAGTGCAAATTATGTTCAGATCAGGTATTTGCTGTATTCAATATATCTCAATATTTGTGTTGGTCGATTTTTGTTTTTAAATGGATTCCATATGACTCACAATCCAAGTCCTGACTGTGGTATGCATAGGTACCAGTGACTTTTCCACTATATCTTGGTCATACATGCGCCCCAAAGCTGGTGTTTATGCAAATTCAAAAACACATTGAGCACATTTTGTACCTTGGTCAACACACATTCATACACAGTACTTTTCATGAGGTTCAGTTGAATAGTGTTCAGAATTCAGTATAGCTGGACTCAGCCTGGTATTTACCAACTTTTTGGCAGAGGAATTATCAAAGGTGACAATTAATTGTAAGGTGAATGTGAGATGTCATAACTGTCAGTAAATGCAATGGTGATAGAATTCTGACTTTCCCATTGTGTATTCTTTATTTCTTGTCTTTTATCCAGGAGTGGTCATACCTTGCTCGCCTTCTGGTTTTCTCGTCAAGAAGGAAAACTCAACAGACAGCAAACAATTGAGCTGGGCCATCATATTCTCAAAGCACATATCTTTAAGGTAGCAAGAAATGATACAATGATGTCCAATTGTGGGTTTTTAATTCTATTAATGTTGATATTTTTCATAATATATGAATAATATGGGTTGAAACAACATTACCACTTTTACCCTGGGCAGTTTAAAAGGAAAGTGATGAAGGACCTGCTCCCAAATACGTTGCTAAGGAAATAGTTTTGGTGAAGGAAGGAGAGTTTGATATATGAAGATACTGCCTCTTGGTGGCCTTGCATGGCTTTTCTATTTCTACTAGATAGCTACAAAATAGCCATGAGTGCCCCAAGAACAAGACATCTACTTTCATCTCCATCTTTTTTTCTCAGTCTTTGAGATGGGGTGGGTATGGGAGACAGAAAATAAGACTATGCTATAGGGACAGGTGATTATTTTGTTTTACTTCCCCTTTTCTCTGAAACCTCATGGTTAATAACTGGTATGGGATGGGAGTTGGTGCTCTGAAAGAAGACTGTACTTGCAGAGGAACTGCTAATTAATGGTTATTCCCCCTGTAGAACTATCCCACTGTTGCTAAATCATTATTCTCTGACTGGTATTTTATTATATTCTTACTAAACTAGAAATACTCTGTAAATCCTAAGTGATTTTTCCCCCAAAATCCTTTTGCATATGCAGCTTTACAAGCTTGGGAAGAAGCAACTCTATAGGTGTTCTTATTACTGCTCTGATTTCTGTATGGCATGATCCATTTGTAAATTGACACACTAGGCTAAGCATATTCCAGTCTGATTCAGGGTTGGTCATTAACTGGGAAGAAGAGAAAGTTCAGTGCTGTAGACTACATGTCATAGGTACCTCTAGAATAGTGATTATTAAATGGAAGCCTCTTCGTGCAATTGATACATTGTCCCCAGGAATATGGCTAGTTATATACAAAAGAGATATACAGTATATTCTGGCGTATAAGACTACTTTTTAACCCAAGAAAATCTTCTCAAAAGTCAGGGGTCGTCTTATATGCGGGTGTAGTCTTATGCATGGGAGTCATCTTAATTCTATATTTTAACTGGAAAAGTTGGGGGTCGTCTTATATGCCCAGTCGTCTTATATGCCGGAATATACGGTAAATGTGAATTTGAATACCCTTCCAGAGAGAGATGCTTAAAATAATTACGTCTGAACAAAAGGCATATCAGATTCTGTTACCTCCAGAGGAAGATGGTATCAAAATTGATTTGGCTTTTTATTGTTCTTTCTTTAGGTAGCTTGAAGCTCTTTCTTTCTCTTTGATTTATGTTCTCCTTTTTTGCCAGTACTTTTAATATATTGCCATTGGACCCTAGGGTAAAAGGGAGTTGCATCATCGTATAGTTAGCAGTGAGCAATTAGGTAGCTCTTTCCCTTTCATTATGAATTGTGGTTTCTTTGAACCTGGAATTCCTGTTCCTGTGGTGCAGGGTGTGGAGATTGTTTGAAAAGACCAGATTTCATAGCACTTAAAATGTATCACATCACCCTGAGTGTTCTGGCACCTTTTGCTTTGGAAAAAAGACTCAAATATCTTCTTTGTCTTCAGAAAATCCTTGCAAGTCGATCTGGGGTTGAATATCCTGTATATGGCTATCATGCAAAAGAAAATTGGTGCTTTGAATGATGAAATCCAATTGTATCTTTTGCAGGGGCTGAGCAAAAAAGTTGGGGTTTCCTCTTCAATTCTCCAAGGGCTTTGGATTTCCTACAGTTCGGAAGGCCTTTCCATGGCTCTGGCCTCTCTACGGAACTTGTACACCCCCAACATAAAGGTAGTGGAGACAAGTGCTGGCTTTTAGGTGTGCAATTGTAAGACAAAACCCTTGAACTCCTGATAAAATAAAGGATTCAGTGTTAGTCTCATGTTTTTAAAAGGGTCTCAATTCTGTTCCATTAAAAGGGGGCTTTTTTTCAGACTTGCATAGTCTTAAGCCTTTTTAACAAAGGATGTGGTAATAGAGTGCAGCTGGAAAGACCTTTCATATCCATACCACAACCTTAGGAAGAGCGGTAAAAGGGATAGATCTGAAAGTCTGTTTTCATATATTTTCTCTGCGGAGATGTGTTTCTTTCTAATTATGAAAGGTAAGCTTTTAGTGGTTTTATTTTTAATGACATCTTGCAATCTCACAGTGGAAAAGTGCTGAGCTTCATATAAAATTGAAGGAAAAACAAAGGAAATACAATATTTACATTTTGCAAAACCCCTTCTTCATCAGTGAATCCCTGACATAAATGTCTTCATTTACATTTTAATGTAAAATTTGTATCCCACAGTCTTCCTCTCTTTCCGAATTGTCCCTTTGTTTTATATAGGGACACATCTAGACAGATACATATATAAAATTTACATGAAAATCACAACTTAAGGATGTCTGAATAGCATCGGGTGGGAGGGGAGAGTAACCCTTTCCATTAAAGAGATAAGAGGCTTTTACATTAGAATGGAAACCTACACTGGCACCAATGAAGACTTCATTCTTTAAGCAAATAGCTTGGGGATGTTTTCTGAGAGAACCATAGACAAATGCAGGAAAGGATTGAATTAACCCTTATTGCACCTTTTTCCATCAGTTGCTGTTTAGTTTTCTAAAAACACAGTAATTTCACCAATAAAATTAATTTCACAAATTGTTTGATTGTTCGATTGTGACTGCCCAGTCTCTTGGGCAGTCCAACAAATGTGTGTATGTCTTCAAACTGCCTGACAATTTATTTATTTATTATTATTTATTTAAAACATTTATATTCTGCCCTTCTCACCTTGAAGGGGACTCAGGGTGGAGCACAGCATATATACGTCAAACATTCAATGCCGGGACACAAATTCTTATATACATACATAAACATTAAAAACATTTATCAAAATATTAAAATACACCATTTAAAACGTTCCTAGTCATCCCCGTCAAGCCTAATTGGCCTGGTCATCTTTCTTATTGCCGTTTTTTTGCCCTGTCCCAAAAGCTTGGTCCCACAGCCAAGTTTTTACCATCCTCCTAAAGGACAGGAGGGAGGGGACCGAYCTGATCTCACCAGGAAGGGAGTTCCATAACCGGGGAGCAATCACCGAGAAGGCCCTGTCTCTCATCCCCACCAATCGTGCCTGTGACAATGGCAGGATGGAAAGCAGGGCCTCCCCGGAGGATCTTAATCTCCACRATGGTTCATAGGGAGAGATGCGTTCGTTTATAGCAACGTTATCAGTTTAATAAGAAATTACATAAGAAATATTCAGAGTTGGTTTTGCCAGTTCCTTCACCTGAAATATACTCTACGGCAGGGGTCCTCAAACAGAGGGCCAGGTCACAGTCCCTCAAACTGTTGGAGGGCCAGATCAAAATTTGAAAAAAAAAATGAATGAATTCCTATGCACACTGCACATATTTWATTTGTAGTGCAAAAACACTTAAAAACTATACAATAATTAAAATGAATAACAATTTTAATAAATATAAACTTATTGGTATTTCAGTGGGAAGTGTGGGCCTGCTTTTGACTGATGAAATAGGATTGTTGTAGTTGTTGTGTGCTTTCAAGTCGTTTCAGACTTAGGTTCTGTGGGTTTGTCGACTGAGTATTGTTTTAATGACTTATGATAATTTGGTTATAATTTAACYKCTATTGTTTTAACTCTGTATGTATTTATGGTTTTATACTGTGTTATTGATTGTGGCATCGAATTGCTGCCTTTGTTAGCCGCTCTGAGTCCCCCCTCGGGATTGAGAAGGGTGGGGTAAAAATGCTGTAAATAAATAAAATAATAAATAGGTTGACCCTGAGTGAGGGCCGGGTAAATGACCTTGGAGGGCCGCATCCGGCCCTCCATTGAGGACCCCTGCTCTACAGTATCTGATAATTGTTTACTGTCTTCGATGCAAATATAAAACCAGAGCTGACCTAGCTTCCAGCACCAAAAGGGATCTGGTGCAAAAAGACCTCTCCCCATTTCAGATACTGGGACCTTTTCATTCATCAAGGATTCTGATTTTTCTTCTATGTTTAGTTTTCCTTTATGACTTACTGCCATCTAGTATTTAAAATATGAATTTACATGTCAGATAAAATGTGAAGTGTATTGTAAACACGCATTAATAATTCTGTAGTGCCAGAGTTAAAAGCAACAAATACTCAGAGTGACAACAAAGGAACATAATTGTTTCAGATTTTTCTTTGCTTATGATTTATATATCACATTCCAGTTTGAAAAATGTCAGAGTGCGTCACAAAATAGCAGGAAAATGTAATACATGCAAAAACAAACTATTAATAATGGACTACTGTAGGTCATGTGTATTGTTTATCTTGTTAGCCATCCTGGGAAGGTTAAATAAATAAATAACTCCATCCCACATCTGTTCAAGTCTCAATTTTATTTCTTCCCATTTTCATGTGAAGTTCTATGAAATAATACTTTAACATTTTAAAATGTTTGTTAAAAACAAATCTAAACATTTTGATTTTGAAAGTGTTCCAAGGGCTGTCGTTAATCTAATGTACCAGACCAGGAATTTACCACCAGCATAGATCAGAGAGGACGATGATGTTTTACATATTTCCCTGGGCAGAAAAGTGTTAATGACCTGCTATTATTCTCATAAGAATTGCTGGTAGGAACTATGATCATGTTTATGAGATCAGTTGGTTGGGAGACAGCAATTATGAGCAAATGTTAGATTTTTTTTCTAGAGTTTGGAATATTTTTGTTCTTTCTCCCAAACTATGCTAATAATTACTGACAAGTCAAAATTATCTTGGAAAAAGCCTACCCATCTCTAATTCAGAAAACTAACACGTTCCTCAGCTCTAATCAATTCTCATATGTCTTTTGTTGTGTAGGTCAGTCGGCTGCTGATCTTAGGAGGAGCCAACATCAATTACAGAACTGAAGTGCTGAACAATGCCCCAATATTATGTGTCCAGTCACATCTTGGCTACACTGAGATGGTCGCTTTGCTGCTAGAGTTTGGAGCGAACGTTGATGCCTCTTCTGAAAGTGGTCTAACATCTCTTGGATATGCGGCTGCTGCTGGCTATCTAAGCATTGTTGCCCTGTTATGCAAGAAGCGGGCCAAGGTGACAATAACTGACGTTGCTATGGATGGGTGACCATGCCCATGATGTCTTTGGTAGGGTGAGATGGGGTGGGCATGCATTAGGTTTTAGCTACTGCTTAGAAGATTTGAATCAAATTTGCGTAGCTTTGGATTAAGATAGCAATGGAAAGATTGTGTCCTTCAAGAAGCACATTTCCAAGCTGGATGTGAGCTTGGCTTTGGTGAGAGAGCTATGTTTCTCTGTGCAGTTGCAGCTGTGTTACCTAACTATGCTAGTAAGAGCATACACAGCAACAGTTTTTTTCTCCTCCTTTTATAGGCATAGTCTGTTCTCATCCAAGATGATATAACCAAGCCCTTCATTGTTAATTTGCAGTTTGTACATTCACTAATGGCATTCAAGTACTGAGTCAAGTTGTGGCCAAGCGAATGTGAGGATAGTCACAAACACTGTTGTCTATCTTCTCATTTTATGTTTATGCTATAATTTTGTATAAATACGGTGTCATTTTTGTACTCATTACACTTCCATTTTCCATGATCTAAACTGGAGAAGATGGAAAATGGAAGTGCAATGAATACAAAAAAGGAAACTGTTAACCAGTGTTGACAGACAGTCCACCAACTCCTATCACTTAATCAGCAGTATTTTTACATTGTGATTTCCTATTGACAATTGTCAAAATTTTATGTTACATAAAAAATTTAACAACTGTGTATGGGCTGAAGCTGGTAATCCTTATGGAGAGACTGCATGGTTGAAAGTGCAAACGTTGCAAACATTATATTAGAAGTGAAATAGTACTGTAAAATGTATCATTAATATTTCATTATCTTTGTCACAAACATGCCATTTATCGGAAGCACAATCCCAAAACAAATAGCAGAAATGACTGTTGAACCCAGTGTCAACAGTGTAGAATGAAAGATTAAAGTGTAAATAATAACCAATAAGCCAATGCCATAGTAAAGAATTCAATTACTGGGTGCAAGCTGGAAAAATACAGTCAGGTCAGTAACAAAATGATAGCCAGAGTCACAATCCAAGGTCCAAAATGTCAAGCATCTGAAGAATAACAGAGTCCAGCAATGAAACAACAATTCTGGCTGCCACAACAAGCCTTCACACTAAGCCTCTTTATCCTAAGATCTCAGCTGTTGCTCACTTACATGCTAATGTTGCAGATCTGTGGAACTCTGCATGCTTTCTTCTGTATTCCAAAGATGGGGATATATTTAACTCATCTATAGCTGGTTCTAATATATTTGCCTCATCTTGCTCAGATGCTGGGAAGTGATTGTTAAGGGTCAACTTCAGCAGTAGCTGAGCCAGGCTGAGGAGATTACTGGGAACTGCTGATTGCAATCTCCTCTCCTCGCCCTTCCAGCCACTCCTTGTCCCCAGTACTGGAGCTGGCCATTAGAGTCTTGATGATGATGATGATAATGATGATGATGATAATAATAATAATAAGGATTGAAATGAAACAACTGGAAAAGATGACACGATATGAGGATTTAAAGATCGCACTGCAAAGACTCTGGCACAAGCCAGTCAAGGTGGTCCCAGTGGTGATCGGCACACTGGGTGCAGTGCCTAAAGACCTTGGCCTGCACTTAAACACAATTGGCACTGACAAGATTACCATCTGCCAGCTGCAAAAGGCCACCTTACTGGGATCTGCACGCATTATTCGCCAATACATCACACAGTCCTAGACACTTGGGAAGTGTCCGACGTGTGATCCAGTACAACAGCCAGCAGAGTGTCTGCTGTGGACTCATCTTGTGGTGTTTCAAATAATAATATTTATTTATACCCTGCCACCATCTCCCCAAAGGGGACTCGGGGTGGCTTATATGAGGCCAAACCCAGTAGTGCATTACAACAAAATAAAACAGTGCAAAAATACAATCACAATGAGTGGGCCACATGAACAAGATAAAATGATAAAAACTCAGGATGAGATAGAAACAGAAAATATTTGTGCGGGAGAGAATAATTGGAAATGAAGTGCTGGAGACAGGCCTTTGAACAGGCAGGGGAAAGTACAGTATGGGGACAAACATTTTAGGGGAGTGGACAAAGGAGATGTAAGGTTACTCTCCAAAGGCGCAACGGAAAAGCCAGGAAAAGCCTCCCCCACCCCACCCAGGGGTTTTGCCATGTTTTAAAAGTTGTTTTAGGACAGTGATGGGCAACCTTTTGAGCTTGGCGTGTCAAAATATGCCAAAAACCTGAGCATAACTTGAGTTATGTCAAGGGGTGTCAACTTCGAGAAAAAAAACCCCCATAATTTTGCAATATTTATAATTTAAATAAGAAAAATGTATATTCCATGCTGAGTTATGGAGTGAACAATGCTCAAATGTGCAGATGTTAAATTTGTAGAGCCTTTTACAAATTTAAAGATGGAATTAGATTGGCTCTTATAAGGTGTACTTCTCTGTATGTGGCCGTATGTGGCCGCGTGTCATCAAAAATAGCCATGCGTGTCAGTGCTGACACGCGTGTCATAGGTTCACCATCACGGTTTTAGGATGAAGAGGTGGGATTCCCAACCAGAAGTTCAATTCATATCTCTGAAATGTTCATTCATTCATTCATTCATTCATTCATTCATTCATTCAAGTTATACCCTACTTTCTCCCACAAAGAGCCCCAAGGTGGGTATGTATATTTTCCATTGCATCCTTACCGTGAACACAAAGTTTGTTCATTAGAACAAAGAGAGGATTCCACTTTTTTCAATGAACAGGTTGCATATACAGTCTGGTAACCACAGAACCTATATCCACTGATCACTTACTCTTTCATGTAATAAAAAAGGTCTCTCTAGTGATTTCTAGCTCCTAATGTGATTTTATGGTACACTTCTTCTGGAAGTGTACCATAGAGTTGCATTGAATAACCGTGTAAAGTCCTAGGGGGAATACACCTCTAGGTCCTCCAGTGCAATGCCATGATATGCTGGGACCAAAAGTAAGGTAATTTAATGGTATTTGGTCATATCTGCAGTTATATGTAACCACAGTTCAACTGGAAATGTATCACTTGCAGATACAAAAGTCTTGCTGTACTTCAGTAGTAGAACAGAGAGGATTGTGTTTTATGAGTATGAGCAATATAACGAAGATGGGGATTGAAATGAATCTTCCATCTGCCTACTTGCAGCAATTGGATTTAATTTTATTTCTTTTTTCCCCTTTCTTTGCAAAGGTGGATCACTTGGACAAGAACGGCCAATGTGCATTGGTACATGCAGCTCTCAGAGGTCATCTGGAAGTTGTCAAGTTCTTGATTCAGTGTGACTGGACAATGGCTGGACAACAGCAGGGGGTATTCAAAAAGAGCCAGGCTATCCAACAGGCTCTCATTGCTGCTGCCAGCATGGGATACACTGAAGTAAGTTGTTTCTGGGAGGTGTTTTCTGTTGAGTGCCACCGAGAAATTGTGTTGATTTAGTATCTCTATTCTTGATCAGCCTAGCCCTGATTCACTTACCAGAAACACTGATAATATCTGGAGAGTTTCTAAACTGCTACATTACTTTGCTCCTAGATTGTCTCCTACCTGCTTGATCTCCCAGAAAAAGATGAGGAGGAAGTAGAGCGAGCCCAAATCAACAGCTTTGACAGTCTGTGGGGAGAGACAGGTAAATACTGTAACCCATAGCATATATTGAAAAACATTGTCCTTTAGGAAATTATTATTAATAAATATTGTCTCAATGCAAAATATTGTCTCAATGTAATTTTCTACAATTCAGTCTAAAAAGAAAAACCTTTTCAGTTTTTATAAGTAGGTTGCATAATCTAAGATACTAGAAAGATAGAACCCAAGAAGCATTAGTTTGGCCTCCAGTATTTACTTTTCTAGGCCAATTTCTACCTCCAAGCAAGGGAGAGCTAGAATATAAATGGATGCATAGGCTCTTTAGTTCTGGCTATCTACTGGATTTGTTTACTAAAGGTTTACATAGCCAGGAGGACTGAAAAGGCCATGTGTCCTAACCTTAGGTCTCCTGCTTTCTAATATTTTTCAATTCCATATCTATCATGAAGCCAAAGACAAAAGAGCTCTCGTTTTCTAGTGTCATGCTGTATCTTGTTCCACTTTTGATACCTACTGGATGTTTGCAACCAAACTGATTACTGAAGGTGTTCACGGCTGGAATCACTGGAGTGTTGTGTGCTTTCCAGAAACCACACAATACCATAAACTGATTACTTTTAATTGTGTTACATTATTTTAAATATTTGCTGCTGTTGGACCCAAAGTCTCTCAGTGAATACCTGTGACTGAGTGAATATTCGGAAACCTCGGTCTTCCAGTGACCTTATCCAATACTCAAACCGTTACGCCATGTTGGCTGAGCTAGGGATACTCACAGAATAATACAGTTTTGAATGAAATGCCTGAAAGAAACAGACATACATAGCTGTAGATGGACATTCAGATAATTCAGTAATCTTTTACTACTGGGCTATGAATCAATGCTGCAGCCTCAACAAAGGAACTAATGCAGTTGCTGCCTTCATCTATTTGGCAGAGGAATGGGTCTTTTCCACACCAGATCTGCTTCAAAGCATTTAACTATTGATTTAAAATCAATATGTTTTGTACAGCTAGTTGGTTCCTTGTTACTAAGAGCTTTCTGGGCTGTATGAATGAAAGTTGTTTTATGCATTATTCTGTTGTATGAACAGAGAGCTTGCAAAAAGCACCAGCAGAAGTAGCACAATAAGTGAAATAGTAATGAAAGAAGCCGGTCCAGAGTATTGAAAGGAGCAGATAGATGGGTGATGATGGTGAGCAGAAGAGAAATAGCATTGCCAGGAATTCCTTGTGTTGATGCTGAGAAAGTGACAATACACATTATGCCAGAAACACTTTTATGTTACATAAAACACCTTAAATCTTAAAGATTTATGGTCATTTGGCTATTATACAAAATGTTTTCCTGCTAATGGATTCTTATATTTATCCAAACAGGCAAAAATATCTTGATTGTAGCGGTTTTCTGTCAATGTTTTGGTTCAGATTGTGTTTGGTTTGATTTGACTCCCTGATCAAGACAAAACTAGACAGTTAACATTCTCTTTGTGCCATCTTCTCAGTTAGCCTTCTTTTAAGAAAGGTTTGCTTCTAGGCACAATTTAAAGTGTTGGCTTTAGCCTATAAAGCCTTAGATGGTTTTGGCCCAGATTACCAGTCCAAACATATCTCTCCTTAAGAACCATCTAAGATGTTAAGATCTTCTGGGGAGGCACTTCTCTCGGCCCAGCCTTCTTCGCAGATGTGTTCGTCGGGGATGATAAACAGGGCCTTCTCAGTGGTGTCCTCTCGGCTGTGGAACGTCCTGCCTAGGGATATAAGATCGGCCCCCCTCCTTTCTTACTTTCTGAAGAAAGGTTAAAACCTGGCTTTTTGAGCAAGCCTTCACTAATGCAGCATAATTATATGAAATCATTGAACAACTTGACGATGCAATTGAATAATGACTTTGAGGAGGAGATGCTCATGACAATGTTTTATGGCTTTGTAAGGTTTTTAAATATTTTATGCTAAATGTTTTAAACAGTATTTGATTATAGTTTTAATTGTTTTATAATTGTTGTGGCATCAAATTGTTGCCAACTATGAACTGCCTTGAGTTGCCTCCAGGCTGAGAAAGGTGGTATACTAATATGGTAAATAAATAAATAAATCATTTCTTTTCAGAAAGCAAGTTGGAATATACCCATTTACTGAAACTATATGTCAACATTCACCTGTCAGCACAGTGGAAAAGAAGTCCTATATATCAGCATTTAGCAAGATGCTGAAATTATTCGTTCTGTGGCACCTTGTACCTCTCGGAAATGCAAAAAACTATAAATATATAATATCTGCTATAATATGCTAAGAAACAAAAATGCCACATCCCATATATCGGCATTTGGAAGAATATGAAGTGTCTCATAGTTCTATAGCCTGAGATGTTACATTAACTATAAGTGAACAAGCTTGGTGAAGGTGGTTTTGAACAACATCCCATAGCATCTTAAAGGCTAAGATTTGTGTTGTATGCAGTAATAATTGTGCCAGTTTGTTATCAATTTAGATATTATTGATGTTTTGTATTTTTAGTGTGTACATTTTTTTGCACAAGAATAGCAAGCGTGTTAAGTAAATCGTTGAAATGACACCAAGGAAAACAATCTCTAACAGTCAGTTACTTTGATGGAGTAAGTGTGACTTCAGTGTCATTTCCTCATCTTGTGTCATTAAACAATAAACAATACAAATAATACAAAAATCTGCTCCACTTCTTATCTTGGTCAATCCTGGAGACTGCAACTTGAAGCTTTTGTTCTTCTATAAGCTTTTCCCTTTTTCATGCCCCCCCCCCCCTTGCCTGTAGGCAAATACTGTTTTTTCCACTTTTGCCACTACACAGCACTTAGACACACTCCCTGGCTGGAAGACATGAAACAGATGGTTTTCTTGGCATGACCTTTGTTCCAATTAGTCTTTTCTCTTTTCTAGCTCTGACTGCTGCAGCAGGACGAGGCAAGCTGGAAGTTTGTCGCCTGCTTCTTGAGCAAGGAGCAGCTGTAGCCCAGCCCAACAGGCGTGGGGTTGTTCCCTTATTCAGTGCGGTCAGACAAGGCCATTGGCAGGTAAAGGGAGCAAGAACCTCTATCAATTGAATAATCTCCTGACAAGTTAATGCACATCCTACATTTCTTTGCTGATATCGCCAAGGAGTTATTTTTTTTCTTGAGATTTTATTAATGCTGACAACATCTGCTTCTGGAAACATCCTAGGAAGTGCAAAGAGATTTTCAGTAATTGGCTTTTCTACATCACCTTTGTGAAATGTTAAAGTGTATATTGTATCTCAAGTCTTTCAGTGTTTCAATTTAGATGCATGGGAGTTTTTATCCTCCAGGATTGTAAGATGTGAAACAGTGATAATTGTTAAGTCTTGTGAACTAAGGTGTGAAAGCTGTGATATTTATAAAAGTACAGGAAAATTGTTTTAAGGTCCTGCCAAAGAGATAATTGTATACAAAATACACTTCCTCTGTTCTTGAATGCGTTCTTCACATGCAAACAATGCCTACATCATACAGGGTGAGGCAGCATAACTTCATTTTTTCAAAACTTAATAAAACCCATTGTATGAATCAGATTTTTTATTTTTTTAATAATGTAGGCGCATACCTAAAGTTTTGTTTTACGTAGTTTTGAAGATCAAATTAGGTAGGTGACGTCCCCCCTTCTCCACTCTCCATACACTGAGTAAACCGATTTCTGGCATTTGTCATGACTCTTGCCAGCATAGCCGGCGTTATGTTGGCAATTTCTTCCTGGATGTTGGTCTTCAAATCTTGTAGGGTCTTTGGACGGTTCACATAAACACAGGATTTCAAAAAGCCCCATAGAAAAAAATCACAAGGGGCCAAATCTGGAGAGCGGGCCAGCCACTCCAAATCCGCTCAAAAAGTAGGCCACAACGGCAAAAGCACGCTTCTCACTGTTCCAACGCATGATGGCGACTGAACTGTGTCAGGACAAAACTTTATACTCTTGCCTCTCGAATGAGAGAGACCACTAGCACTCCGCTACGTCTCCAACCAACTGAATGGCGCGCATTTTTAAAAAGGAAGTTATGCTGCCTCGCCCTGTATTTAAAGCAAAGTTTTAATTCATAAATTCTGCTATAGATTTATATGAAAAGGGAGCGTGTTTTGCCTAAAGGTTCCAAGTATTTCCACCTAATTTTGAAGCATTTTCTACATAAGTAGAAAGCCAGTGAACAATTGATTCTACATCACTGATGTAGCTTTTTATGGATTTCACTCCTCATATATTCTCCCTTCCTGTTTCAACAGCATGTTTATCCAATTCTGATGTTTGAATAATGGAAGATATTAATTCCTAAGTTTTAATGGATTTCTAATTGCAGTTGGAAATTCCAATGTTCAAATCTTCCATTCCTGGCAATATTATGGGTGCAATGCGGTCAAAGACATTTGGATTAGTAGCATTAAATCAGATGCATTGTGATAATTGGGTACATACGAGACTACATAAAATAGACATTCAGTTATGGAAGTGCGAAGCACTAGATAGCGCAAGAGAGCAGAGTATACCCTTCTCTAGAAGAGCTGTGAGGAAACTCCAGACCACATGCCTGATTTAAATTTCAGGACTTCCTTATCCAATTCATCAGCTTCTCCCCAGATCCCATTTTCCCATTTCTTTTCCATGCTCTGCAGCAACAAGGAATGTCCCTTTGTCACAGTGGTGAAGGGAAAGGCATATTTTTATGTTGTATATTTGCATTGTTGTATTGCCTCATGTAAGCTGCCCCGAGTCCCCTTAGGGAGATGGTGGTGGGGTATAAATAAAGGTTTATTATTCATTTATTAACGCAAGGAACTGCTTAAAACTGGGAGAAAGCAATGGATTTTCGTAGCATTCTGAAATTTTCAAAACCCTATATAAAATAAAGCCAATACATATAGGAGAAATATTTTAGGATAGAGGATTTTGGAAAGATTTTATTTAGATTGGGCATTTTCAGCACATCACGAGATTTCAAGTGCATAGAGCACAGGGATCAGTATTGTTCTCCGCAGTGCTTAGATAGCATGGTTTGTTCTCAGTGCATCCTTTGTGTGCTTTCAGATTGTTGATCTCTTGCTCACCCATGGTGCAGATGTTAACATGGCAGACAAACAAGGTCGGACTCCTTTGATGATGGCAGCTTCAGAGGGACATTTGGGCACAGTAGAGTTCTTACTGTCTCAAGGTTAGTTTTGGAGCAGCATGGGAATTAAGCCCATGCCCGCATCAACAGGCTCAAGAACTGTTCTGAAGGTAAACGTTGAAGTTAGACCCCTGGTTTTCATAAATTAAGATGAAATAACATGTGCTGGATTTATTATATTACAATTTTGCATGGTTTTGTATTCTTCCTGAATTCTTCTGAATTCAGTCAACATTAGTCTTTACTTGGATAGCAACAGCTGGCTAAGTATTTTGAAGGGGAGAATGTCTAAAAAGTTGTGTCATGGACAGAAGATAGACAGCTCTCTTAACTCAAGAGATCTATAGACCTACCTGATTATTTTGTATAAGGTGAACTCCCTGCTGCTTTAAAAGCAATGCAATTATAAATGCAAACAAAGAAGACTGTTTTTCTCCCTCCATTTAAGTGAATAAAAGAACTATTCTGGGTGTGAGCTTCATGTCTGCAGCTGAAGCAAAACTTGCACCCTTTCTGTCCTACCTAGAGCAAGATTATATGACAAGAAAGCAAAGCAAAGGTGAATAATAATAATAATAATACTTTATTTATATATCGCTCCATCTCCCCGAGGGGACTCAGAGCGGTTCTCATGTAACATCACAAAACATACAAAGTAAAAACTACATAACCATAAGATTAACAAATGAAAATATAAGCATAAAAATTGTCGCCATAACACACATATATTAAAAGAGTCCTGCCTATTCAAGGCAATTTAAAAATTTTAAAAGGCCGGGCCAAGATTTGTGCAAGCCCAAAAATTCTAGGGGCCCCGGGAATTAATGCTATGGCAGGCAATGCTATGGCAGGCAACAATAATATTAGGTATGGATCTGTACCTAATAATAAATAAATAAACACTTGTTAGTTTTCAAAAATAAAGGACGCGCCTAGGCATGAAGTTGAATATGCTTTTGTATGGTATCATAAAATCATAGAATCACACAATTGGAAGACACTACAAGAGCAATCCAGTCCAACCTCCTGCCATACAGGAACATCCAGTCAGAGCACTCTCAACAGAGAGTCATCCAGCCTGCACTTTAAAAACTCCAGAGAAGGAAACTTCACCACACTCCAGAGCAGCAGATTCCACTGTCAAGCAGCTCTTAACATCAGGAAGTTCTTCTCAGTGTCCCTGCAATTTGAGACCACTTTTTCCATGTCTTAATCTCTGGAGCAGCAGAAAACAGGCTTCCCCCCTCCTCAATGTGACATCCTTTCAAATATTTAACCATGGCTATTATTTCCCCTCCATTCACATGCATGCATCCCATCCATATTCTCTTCCCCTCTCCCCAAGAACAAATAATGATATTAACCCATCCCTTTCTGGAGAAGTTGCATGCAAATTCTTCTTGAACTTTTAGTAATAATAATAGTAATAATAACAACAACAACACTTTATTTATATTCTGCCCTTCTCAACCCGAAGGGGATTCAAGGCAGATCACAAGTACAGATACACGGCAAACATTCAATATCATTTGTATGACAGTAAATAGATAGAACAGAAGAAGGTGTTGTTTCGATGCCATGGATGGTTGGGCTTGAGTCCACAGGGGATGCTGTTGCTTCATCCTCTATGACGAAGAGCTGTCAGGACTTCCTTATTCAGCATTTTCTGATCTTCTTTTTCTTTATGGCATTGTAAAACACCTCCCCTGCTTTAGCAGTACCTAATTTCTCTAATTACAGCTAAAGCTGTTTTTTAATTGCTTAGGTAAACAGTGTGCAGTGCTGACGGTCGGTCACTTATGCCGACCCGAGGCTTTGAACTTGCAACCTTTCGGTTGATAGATCTTATAGTTGCTGATGATTTACCAGCTGTGCTAAACCTCCGGCCCAACCCTAATGGCAAAGGGCTGGTGTTTTTTATTTCAGTTGAGTATGTTTTATGAACTCAACATAGTTTTTTCAAATCAAAATTTGAAGAGAAGTATTTCTGAAAACCATTAAGCGAAATCAGTATTTGCTGTAAATTGTTGCTAACAGATTCATATAAATATCGAAAGCAGCCACTAGGTGGCATTCAGAAACCTTTTATTGTTGCCAAGTAAAATGTTTTGTGACTCCAACATTCAGTTAATGTGACCAACAGTTTAAGAAGCTTTGGTCTGTGACTTTTTTAAAAATCAGGAAAAGCACCTTGGTAAATATGCTTATTATACAGGAACAGCAATCAGAAAAACTAAGCATTTTAATGAGCAATATCAAGTAGTAGCAATGGGAATTTTCCTATCTTGATACATGTCTAGACAATATAAAGAATATTGCAGGTAACAGAGTATCTACCTAACCAGATACCTACTTTCTTTGGAGGGATAAAAACATTCTCCTAATGAGGGGCAGCAACACTAGGATCAAGTGGAAATGGATCAAGCTTCTGCTGACATACCTCTGAGCAATCTTGCTCTCTTTCTTCCAGGCTCATCAATATCACTAATGGATAAAGAAGGACTGACTGCCTTGAGTTGGGCTTGCCTAAAGGGCCACCTTTCAGTGGTGAGAGCTTTAGTGGAGAGTGGAGCTGCTACAGACCATGCTGACAAAAATGGACGCACTCCGTTGGATCTGGCTGCTTTTTATGGTGATGCTGAGGTGGTAAGTGGTACACCATTGGAGAAAAGGGATTGGAAGTCCATGAAAATAATTAAAATAACCTTGATAGCATTATTCAGACTTAGCTAAGTTCAGTAAGTTGGGGAATTACTAACCTACTTTATCTTCTCATTCCTCCAAAATGACCTATTATTTTGGCAAGAACCCCACAAGTCTGCTGAAGATAAGAAGTTCTTTATATATTTCTTATGATGTTTTTTCCCTCTGATACACTAAGCTGAAAAACAAGCATAAACACAGTACTATAGTGCCTGGGAGAAGCACAGGCCTTGATTCTTCGGCTCTGGCTACTGCTGTGTAGATACACCACGTTTTCTTATTATTTATGCCATTTCTTGTGTGTGTGTGTTTTTTTATAGATTTGTGATCCATATTGTATCTGGGTTGGGGTGTTGAAAATCTAGTGTGAGAGAAAAAAAGGGATATTGCACCCTGCTTCTTAGGAAAATAGATTTACATGTAGCACTGTTCTGTATGACATAATTGCTATTTGCTGTTCATTGTGACCTGAACTCTATGGGCTGGCATCCCGATGAAGTTGGACATTAATGCCTTTTTAAAACATTTTTAATTATATTTCTTAAAAAGTAATTGGATAGGTTTGGTTACATGGAAAGTGGGGGAATATTGTGAAGGAGATAGAAAAGTAGGAAATAGAGTGGGGTCAGAAGAAGGGAGGGGGGAGGGGAAAAAAAGGAGAAGGGAGAAAAAAAAGGTGACTTCCATCTAGTCTTTGAAGATCTTTAAAGTCTTTTTTAAAGGTTTTTCTATAGTATTTCTTCCTTCTTTGTTTTCCTTACCTAGGATTTACTCTTTTTAGTCAATGATATCTAGTTTCCATTGTCTAAAATATTTTTTCACCGGGTCCCAGTTTGTAGATTTCTTTGGGGTACCTTGGTTTGGTGTTCATCCATGCTCATTATCTCCAAAATTTTGTTGTGCCAGTTTTCTCTCTGGGGTATTAATGCCTTTTGATTTCTTCCTGCTGTAAGTGCTACTAGGCCTTCAGTCCATCAAATTAATCAAGTTTTTAACCTTAACTAAGTCTCAGCTCTACTCAGCTCTCAAACGTTGACCTAATTGGGGGTTGCGTGTTTTTTGGGCTGCATGGCTGTGTTCTAGCAGCATTTTCTCCTGACGTTGGCATCTTCTGCCAACCATAAATACAGGTGAAACATCAGGAGAAAATGCTGTTGGAACATGGTCATACAGCCCGGAAAACACACAACTCCCCAGTGATTCTGGCCGTGAAAGCCTTTCACAATATGTTGACATAATTTTCAAATTATGCCTTTGAAAGTTATGCTGATTTAATTGTTTTGTTTGTTTGTAGGTTCAGTTCCTGGTTGATCATGGTGCCATGATTGAGCATGTGGATTACAGTGGAATGCGACCCCTCGACAGGGCAGTGGGTTGCCGCAATACTTCCGTTGTAGTCACACTATTGAAGAAAGGAGCCAAGATAGGTAGGAAGGAGTCAAAAAGACAGGGAAGCAAACTATTTGAATCTTGCAAGTGCTGTTTTGTCCTAGGTTGTACTAACTCAGTGCACTCTCGTGAAATAGGCATGTGCTATTTTGATGGAATGCTGCTTCTGCTTCCCCAGAAGAATACCAGCATTTCCTTATGCTATTACGGTTATTTTGTGTTCATTGCCGAGCTCTGGCAAATTGAGGCTGCAGCTCCTACCAAAGTCTTCTTTTGAGAACAACTGCCAGCAAAACAGTTAGTGTTGTGCTGATATGCTGCCATAAGCTGTTGCTTTCCCTGCTCTGTAGATGCTTCTAGACTTGAACATTTACCTGCACTGCGCCCCTTTCTCACAATCTCTCGCGTCACAAGGGGATTTGCTGGCACCTTGGCTGCTTTGCTGCCTGCCTCTCACTGCTGCTTTTTCCTTTTTTTAAAAAATCATCTCCATCCATTTTTCTCCCTCTCGTACAACTTTTTTGTTTTCTCCTTTTCTTCAAAGGCTGTCAGACGTTACCGAGTCGCCCACGAGGTATACTTCATTGCTGTTAGCATCAGCTTGGTGGTCTGACAGCTCTGCTTTTTCTCTTCTATGGTTTTGCCTGCCTGCATCTTTTTTCTTCCACCCCACACCCACTTTTCATTTTCTTCACTTTCAAATAATTATTTTTTTCCTTACTGTTGCAGAGAATAACTTGAGCTCAAGACCCAATGCGCCTGTAAAACGATGCAAATTATTTCACACCCCAAACTCATGCTCTTACAGCTCTGTTGTCTCCTTCCCGTTTGATGTTAAAATATCAAGTGGGAATACTAGCATATAGAGACGTTATAAAGGCCTGTATAAGATGATTGTAGAATCGAGCTCTTTCTTAAACTGCATTAGAAGGGAACATTCTTAGCCATTCATCCAAACTACTTCATAAATATAATTCATTTCTGTAGTGATAGTTCTTCTGAAACACTGAAGGTTTTTAAGTTCTGACATAATGTGGGCCTAAAGATGTCACACAATTTTTTTCTAATTTCTGTAGTACCCCATAGGCGGTTCTGCTTAAAGTGTACATAATAGTAACCTTTTGTTATACTCTCTGATTTTTTTTCTTCAATTACATATTGCAGAATATAACTATCTCATTTCTCACCATTGCCATGGGAATGACTGCAAAATTTGTGGGTCATTCAACTGAGCTGAAAGATAAAACTACAAAGGAAATGTGCCTTTTGCATCCCTGAGAAAGCCCAGCTCTTTTGTTGGGACCATATTTGTCTTTTTGGTTGGCTGTAGCAAGTTGTTCTCTCCAGCAGAAATTTTTCTCCCCAGGATGTTTTTCCACATTAGCTTTCCTCCCTCGCCACCTTTTGCATTGTATGAGTTTTTTTACCCATCATGCATCCTGTACACTACAGGTCCAGCAACCTGGGCGATGGCCACTTCCAAGCCAGACATCATGGTCATCCTGTTGAGCAAGCTGATGGAGGAGGGGGACATGTTTTACAAGGTGAGATGGAAAACAGATCAAGTGCCAAGAAGTGAAATTATATCTATTTTTTTCTGGTGTTCATTTTTCTGCTGCTCAGGTTGCATCACAGAGCTTTGAAAACATAACTGTAAATGTGTGAACTGTGACTAATTATTATGATTTAACAGAGAAAATAATAACTATCAGTCACGGTTTTATTTAAACATTAGAAACATCATACAGATGTCTTATCTCACCATATATTCCCAAATCTATACTCCCCAACCCGCCCATTACTTACATAGCATTATAAAAATACAACACTGTCAACTCTATTACTTCTGCATTATTCTAACTTTATCCATTACATAAAATTATTGTAATGTAATCATTAATTACTCAACCACAATCGTTCTTGGACGTTCGATGGTTTAAATTGGTCATTGTTTTTACACATGAAACTAATAAATGGTTTCCTAGTTTTGCCAAATATATCTTCCTTCAATCCACCTTTTTCTAATCTCAGTTTATAGGTTAACTGTGCCTATTAATATTCTTCAGAATAGCTCCTCACTCCCAGGTTAGAAGAAAATAATTTGAAAAAAAAAAGTCAAATGAGAAAATATGTACAAATGTGCTTCATTTTTACTGTTCATATACCTTTGATTGTTTAATAGTGAATTAATCACTTTTAGCAAAACAGAATACCCTTTTTTATTTTGGTCATATGGCTCTTAGTACCCTTCATAGCCAGAGCGTCCAGTATGATCCAGTAGGATCAAATGGATTCATAGAGTTTGGGAAGGGGTTTCAGACTACATTGGGTTTCATCACTGATTGGAACACTTGACCAGGCTTCCAGGCTTTGCCAAGGAAGAAGAAGACTTTATATTCTCTTATATCTAAAACAATAGTTTTGGAACGAGTGTAGCCTTTTTTATCTAGAAATTTATGCTGCTGTCAGGCTGCTGCTTATGCTCTACATCAAAGCTGAAATTTTGAGTTGATGGGCCAGACTTCCATGCTTCTGATCTCTGACCATGTTTAAGAGATTAAGAGCATATTATTAAATCTCCCCTGCTCAGTGTCCAGATCTCATTACAATTTCCTTCAAGCCTTTATTGTGGTTGAAATTATATTGGATAGTTAAGAATAGTTAAGATCAATGTAGATAAAATATCAACCCATGTTGATATTTTGTCTACATTGATCTTAACTATGCTTCACACTTGTTCCATGCAGACTCTAGTGATCTCAAGGGTGGATTATTATATTTTATACTAAGCTAGTATACAAACGAAGATAGTGTGGAAGCTTTAGTTAGTTCCAAATGCTGCTGTCATCTTCTCTGGAATAGTTAGGAAGTCTATCATATATCACATTATGGCAGGAGTTCCCAGTTTGCTTTTCCTCTCAATTCGGGGTCCTGCCTTTGCCTTTAAAGCCAGACATATGGAATCAAAGGCATCGATATTTTGGGGATTGCATTTTCCCAGTTCTTTAAATGTCTGCTCAGGTGATAGGATCCTTCTTGCTGGTTCTTCTGCTGACAGAAATCCAGTTTCTGGAAGCCAATGAAGGGACCTTTTTAATGGTAGTACCTAGATAGCCAGCATGGTGTAATTGTTCAAGTGCTGGACTAGGACTCTAGGAAAACATGCTTTGAATCTTCATCTGACCATAGAAACTCACTGGGGGACATCGGGAAAATCACACTTTTTCAGCCAGAAGGAAAGGTAAAGGCAAAGCTTCTCTGAATAAATCATGCCAAGAGAACATCATGATAGCTTTTCCTTAGGCGGCGTGCCTAGGACCACATCAGGCGTATGGTTATCTTCCAAAGAATGGGTGTAATTATAAGAATGTATAAGTGTAACTACCATATTTACACAAGTTTAATGCACACCATTTTTTAAAGTAAATTACATTGCTAAAATTGAGGTGTGCATTACATTTGATGGAGCATAATGCTCAATACCATAACGGCACTCCATGCAGTCATGCTGGCCACTTGACCTTGGAGGTGTCTATGGACAATGCCGGCTCTTCAGCTTAGAAATGGAGATGAGCAACAACCCTCAGAGTTGGACACGACTGAACCTAATGTCAGGGGAAAACTTTTACCTTTACTAATACTCAAGTAAATTTGGTATATTACTCTGGCATTGAAAGCCTTGTGGACCACATAAAATAACATGGCGGGCCGGATTCAGCCCACAGACCTTGCATTTGACCTGTGTGTCCTAGGGTCTCCTTAAGTCAGAAGCAACTTGAAGGCACACAACAGCAACTCAGAATGTGGAGCAGTGGTGACCTAGGTAACTCTAGATGGTGATTTAGCTTGACATATACAGTAAAGATAGTTTTATTTCAGGAGACATTTGGGTTAGGACCTTACATGATGGTTGTCACTATTGTTCTTGCTGCTTTATTATATTTTAAAAATTGTTAAGTACACACACGCACATATATGTGCATACTACATCATATTAGTACTAGTGGTAGCAACAGCAGTGATAAAAAATATCAACCAAATATTGAAGCTGGTTGCCAAACCTGGACAAAAATGAATCCAAAATCCACTGAACATATAAGATCAGAACATACAAAATCCTTAACCATGATTCAAGTTTTTACAAGGAATCCAGAAATAATTTCCATCTGAAAGATAGGATGATGGAATATCACGGCCCATTCCTGATTAATTAACCATAATAGAAATGAAATGGGTTACTTCTGCACCTGACTGTAATGAAATTTAGACAATATCAACATCAAAAAAGAAATATCCTTTGTTGGAGCTGTTGTAATGTGGGTACATTTAGTAGCTATTTCTGTGTAAAATGATTAGTTGCTCTAGCATTTAACCTATTGTTACAATAGGTCAGTTCCATTTCTTTTCTATTTTAGATTGCACAGGTTATACAGTGCAATCTATACTGTATAACCTGTGCAATATTGTAAACAAGGCCAAATGGCTGTATTTCACTCTGATCTAAGAATGTCCCTTGAAGCTTTTCTGATACTGCTTTTCTTAAAAAGAAGAAGAGAAGAAGAAGAACTTTATTTTTCTACCCCCGCCTCCATCTCCTCGAGGGGACTCGGAGCGGCTTACATGGGGCCAAGCCCAAGGTAACATACAATTAAAAACAGAACAATAACATATTCAAATATTATTTAAAAAGACAAATGGCAGTTGGAATTTTAAGTCTCAATTTAAATTACGCAGGTTTTTTGGACATGAGATCTGGATAATTTTCAGTTAATGTTTAAAATATAAATTTCCCTCCAACCAACATTCACTGAGGTTAGGGGCCCTCCTGCAAAAAAGGAAAAACTATGAATAAAAAGGCTTTTTAAAAACCTGAGAGAGTACCTTTCTAGGAAGTTAGCCTTAGAGTTTCATGGAAGGGCCTAGAGATTTCTAGAGAGAACATGTGAATCAAGCGCGGTAAATAAACATCTACAAAAGTCAAACCTTCAGGTGTGGAGTGCCAACTGCATTCATATTTGGACTTCAGAGGCCTGTCTGTAATTGATGTGTCACTGCTTTGGAAGGAAACACAGTCAGTCATATTGAGAATGCTTTAGTTTGCCCTGCAAAAGGGTTCAAGATAGGAAAGTATAGTCATCAAGGTGGAAAAAGGGAGACTATCAAGTGAATCTGTCAATGTCAAGAAAGACCACAATCTTTTCATGAGTGAGTCAGTTCTGCTAATTGGAAAGGCATTTGCTTTTAATTTATCTTTTTTATAAAGTCATAAAATATACAATTAGACGACATGAACACACTAAAATGTATATATCACACCATAATATGAATAAAGAAATAAGTATATCTTTTGCAAGAAGAGAAATAGCTATATCATGGGCATACAGTACATCCTTCACTCATCAATTCACATTGATGTATGTGTCAAACTGATTTGTTGTGTTTGCATTTCTATGACTGTCCTTTTAATCCCATTTGATCTGAAGTAACACTACTATCTATTACAGCAGTTCTCATGAAGAAGAATTGTGTGTATAATAGCCAACGGTGAAGTTGTGAACAAGGGAAAATAATCAGTTATGGCCAAAACTACACACGATATTAATTTTATGAATGCATTTAATGTGCACATTTTTAAAAAAGGAGTGTAGCAGGACTGAGATAACAGGAAGTCGAGACGAGGCATTTAACCTTTCTCTCATGCCATTGAATGTTCCCTCCCAAAACTGCTCTTTGTGAAACAAGAAGCCTACATTAGTGCCATTTTTTTTTACCAGAAGTGCAATGAGATGGAGAAAAGAGTTAAAATTAATTTGCTCCTCTGTTTTTGCTCTTGTTTGGTCCACACATACATGCAGTTGTTATTTATATTTTTAGTACATTTTGATTGAATTCACATAGTGAACATCATGCCTAGCTTGATACTTTTCCTCCATAAACTCCATAAATCAGTATTACAGAAAGAAACTAAATCATAGAGTACAAGGGGAAGAGATAAGTCAATAGGCACAAGAAAAACTAGAAAAGGCAGAAAGGTGGATTGAACATTAAGTGGATCCTCAAATGCACCACATTTATGGAATTCCACTGTCATTCCATCTATAGGCATTGATAACGCAGGAAAGATCTTCCTGCTGATCTCACACTTGGAACCATGCTACCTCTATACGGATCAGGAAGTCACTATTTCAGTTTCCCGCAGGTGAAAAATCTGTCACTTGCAATGGGAGGGCAGGCAATGTGTTCCAAGCTGCATGCTGGATTACTACAAAAAGATGTCAATTTTGGAACTCAGTAGTTTACATGTTCATTAAGCAGATAGTGTTGGTAGGAAATCAGTGTGTGCAATAATAATGATAATAATAACAACAACAACAACAACAACAACAACAACACTTTATATTCTGCCCTTCCCACCCCGAAGGGGACTCAGGGCAGATCACAGTACATATACTTGGCAAACATTCAATGCCGCTTTGTATAAACAGTACACACAGACAGACAGAACAAGAGGTGGTGTGTTTCAGCTGTTTTTGGTGCCATGGAAGGTTGGGCTTGAGTCCAGAAGGTGCTGTTGCTCTATCCTCTATGATGAAGAGCCGTCAGGACTTCTTCCTTTTGGTCCCCCATCATTTTTTGATCTTCTTTCTTTATGGCATCGTAAAACATCTCCCTCACTTTTTAGCGGTACCTAATTTCTCTAATTACAGCTAAAGCTGTTTTCGAACTGCTTAGGTAAACAGTGAGCTAGGATGACCGTTGGCAGCTCACGCCAACCCGGAGTTCGAACTTGCAACCTTTTGGTTGATCGATCTTATAACTGCTTATTATTTACCAGCTGTGCTAAACCTCTGGCCCCATTAACTTTCTGCCCATAGTGAAATAGCCAGGTGAGTTCATCATAGAAAATCCACCCGACAAGCGAAAAGTGCCTCTGCTAAGTCTTTGTCTCTCAGTATCAGAGCGCAAGACCACACAAAATTGAACTCAATCATCTGCAGCACTTGAGCTTCTATGTATTATTTTGCAGGGAGCTAAATTTTATTCTGTAGAGAATAAAAGCATTCAAGACTGTCTTTATTTCTGTACCTTTCTGCAGCCATTATCATGCACTACATTTGGTTGTATTAATGGGTTTATAGCTTCTGAAATGATAAAACCGCAAACTGAGTGGTGCTTTTTGAACTGTTTGCCATTATGCTAGAAAGGGAAAGTGAAGGAAGCTGCCCAGCGCTACCAGTATGCTTTGAAGAAGTTCCCCCGAGAAGGATTTGGAGAAGACCTGAAAACCTTCCGGGAACTGAAGGTCTCACTTCTTCTCAATCTGTCCCGGTGTCGGAGGAAAATGAATGTAAGTGGCCTTTTTCTCAAAGCCCTTTCCTGCACATGATCCTTCCCTAGTTCCCTATCCTGTTCCTAGCCATCCCTTAACCAAACTCCTAGAATGGCCTTGGAAGCCTCCACCTTTTTGTAACCTGGTTGTCCTTCACAGAGCACTGGCGTTTTACAGTTCTGAAACAGCCAAGCAATGGTTTGAGATTCTTTTAAAGCAATTTAAAATCAATTTCTATATAAAATTAGCTATTACAGCTCTCTTTGATTTCTTAAAAATATTTATTTCTGTGTATGTGCAGATTGGAGGATGCTGGCAGATTTTAAATGCCATTTTTGCCTTCTAAAACTTTCTCTCAGAACGCTAACTTAAAATCAAAACACACACTCACACCTTCCCATTCTGCTCCTATTCCTCTATCTGAAAACATAATTTGGAAAGTTCTTATTTGTGAGAAAGTGAGAGAGAGATCAAGAGAGGATTATTCATGCTAGGAAGCAAGTAAATGATGGGCAAGTAATATGGAAATCAGCATACATAATAAAACTTAACATTTTTGGATTTCAGTTCATGGGCATTTGAAAGGTAGATGTAATTTTCAGCAGGAAGGACCACGTCATGTTTTCATAGTGACTATCGACCTGAGTAAAGAACAAGGTGAACTTAACATACCACTAAATCTGCAGGCAGTTGAGATGGATAACAGCTTATTAGGAACAAGAAAATAAGTAATAAAAGTAAAAAAAAAACAAAAAACAGCAATCATAGAATCATAGAGTTGGAAGAGACCTCATGGGCCATCCAGTCCAACCCCTGGCCAAGAAGCAGGAAATTTGCATTCAAAGCACCCCCGACAGATGGCCATCCAGCCTCTGTTTAAAAGCTTCCAAAGAAGGAGCTCCACCACACTCCGGGGTAGAGAGTTCCACTGCTGAACAGCTCTCACAATCCTCGCAGTGTGTATCCAAGCTTAATTAAAGGGGTATTTTTTTAGCCCTTCCATGATTCATTTCATTATTTTATTGACTAACAGAAATATTCAGATAAATAAATGTATGTCCTTACTCTAGAAATTGTCCATCTTAGTTGAGATTCTTTCCAGTTGAGATTGAGCTATACAACCGTGCTCATTCTAACCATACATTTAGAAGCTCCCTCTGTGTACTTAAGTACATATAGATTGTCCCTACACATAGTTTACAAATCCCAAATGATGAGGCCAACTTGTATGTCTCCGATGGGACAGGGCTTCATAGTGTGTCCCCATATTTCTTCAACACATGAGGCCGTTGCACGCTCCTCTCTCCCAACTCCACACAAGGAAATTAAAAATGCAGACAAAAAATTGTGAATATAGTTTAGCAGTCAATTTATTTCCAACAGTGCCCACTAGGAAGAACAAAGTCAAGGTCGGTTTTGTGGCCCCCAAGGGTCACAAAAACCCCTCTAGAGCGTTTGAAGCACATACATCTCAGTAATTTGAGGTCCAGGAGAGGCTTAAAAACTGAGCAGGAAAAGTTCAACTTGCTTCCTGTTGTTTAAAATAGACTTCCTCTGGGCCTACAAAGGCCCTAGAAATCCCAAACCATAGTGGAAATGTTCCCTTTACTCCCTAGAAGGCATTCATGCACAAATATTTTTATATATCTACTCCTTCATGAATAGTGGGTGCTACCTCCAAGGTTTCCTGGGTGGGTAATATGACTCCCTAGCTTTCCACAGTTACCCACCCTTAAGTTAGGCCATGCTTTTTTGCTTTTAGGTTAGCAATACAGGCACACACAAAAGAATGGAGCTTGCAGAATGTACTTGGTCAGACTGAGTGATGACAGGTAGATGAAAGAAATAAACAAGACCCTTATTAGCCAAGTTTGAGAGTGGGTAACCTCCAACTTCACAAAACAGGGTTGGATCTCTCGATACCAGCTATCTGGGACAGGATGTTAATGTTGAAAATATTAAGTCCACATACAAAGATATGTCCATGTCATTTTTTTTCTTCCCAAATTCTCTGTGTGTATATTCAATGACTTATCTGCGCACCTATTGTAATGGCAGGATTTTGGAATGGCGGAGGAATTTGCTACTAAAGCACTGGAGCTGAAACCGAAATCTTATGAAGCTTACTATGCAAGAGCAAGGGCCAAACGCAGCAGCAGGTGAGAGGAGAGCCAGAGAGAAATTAAAGATTCTGTTCTCTTGAGATTTGGGTGTGACACACTCTAAAAATGTCCCCATTCCACACAACAAACCAACAGTGAAGGGACTGCCCAAGGGAGACTGTAAGATACCACCTCAAGGTAACAGAGAAACCAATCCCTTACCTTAAGTTGAGACCTTGCCACAATTCGAAGCGTAGTAACTGTCAGTTAGACCATTCTGACAGTGTTAGGTCTCTCACATCAGAGAAGTATGCACCGGTGAGCATTTGAAGGCCGAAGTCGAGTCCTAGCAAGTCACTGCTCTGCCATGTGCTGCTGATGTTGTTATGTGACATGGAGTAAGAGCAGTAGGATCAAGCTCTGTTGCATTTGGTACACAGAAGAGTCTGAACCAACTGCTGCAGATAGACTCACACTTCAAAATTCTGAACTGGTTGGAAAGGGTGGTCTTTTGAATGCTGCTAGTTTCTTTGCTCAGCTCATGACTATTGTGGATGTGCTAAGTTTTGTCTCATGCCAGGATTTCTACTGTATCTTCCCAAACAACCATCAATGGTGAGTGGAAGAAACTGTAGTGGAACAATGGGCTCAATGATAGCCCATTGGATAACTAATGGGCCCTTACCTCCATCTCTCTTTCCTGATCTTGAACTACATCACAGAGACAGCCTTTAACATTACCTAACACTGCACTGTCAGTGTTAACACTTCACTTTTTTTTTACTGTTTTTATTATGCTGTTGAGAAACTTGACAAAAAATGATTTTGGGGGATTTACTACATTAAATCTTAGGGAACGCTATAGCAAAATAAACATTTTGTTTTGTTTTGCCTTGCCTCCCAAGCATCAGCAGTCAGTATGAATTCAAACTTGGAGAGATTTTAGCATTTTTTGTGTTTTAAAACACATTTTTGTATTTTAAAAAAAGAAACAAGAAAGCAAAATGTGTGAAAGACGCAGAGGACATTGTCTACTAATCAGAATCCCATTCAACTAGATGACTGTTTTTGTTCAAAAGCTACCAGTGTCCCTGTAAATGACAACCCACCTCTCCTGAAATTTCCTACCCTTCTGTTCCTCAGAGGATAGACAAAGGCCATGGAGCCTTGTCTCAGGCACTCTCCCTTCCTTGTTCCCTTCATTTCCAAGAAAGCAATCCTCAGATCAGAATCCAGTGGCTTAAGGGAAGCCATAGCTTGCGGCTTGGATTGTATGGGCTGAAGCTAAAATAGTTGGAGGAGTTAGAAATACACTTGCTGTGCATACCCCATAGTTGCCTATCTTGTTCCCCACATTTCCAAGTGAGCAACATTATAAATATTGACTTCTCCTTTGGAAATGGATGAAAAATATCAAAGGTTGAAGAATCTCATTTCCAAGACTTGAAACATTTCTCCTTCATGACTAGCAGTGCTTTTCTTCATAAGAAACTTGTTGCTTGTGTCTTATTGAATCCATTCCAATCAGAGTAACTTTGTTTCTCCATCTTTTTTTTTTTTTGTTCCCTCTTTTGGCAAAGCAGACAGTTTTCAGCAGCACTGGAGGACCTGAACGAGGCCATCAAGCTCTGTCCTAACAACCGTGAAATCCAGCGTCTGCTGATGCGAGTGGAGGAGGAGTGCAGACAAAGCCAGGCACAACTGCAGCAACAGCCTCTTGTAGTATCTGAACCTGAAACACAGCATGAAGAGTTGTATGAGGTGCAAGACGTCTTGGAAGAAGAATATATTGAGGAAGATGTAGAAAACATTTCTGTTGGCTTGCAGACAGAGTCACGGCCCAGCCAAACGCTGCCCATCATCCAGAGCCCTCCCTCTTCCCCTGCCCACCGAGACTCTGCCTACATCTCCAGCTCACCACTTGGTTCCCATCAGGTCTTTGACTTCAGGTCAAATAGTTCTGTGGGATCACCAACCAGACAAGGGTACCAGCCCACTTCTCCAGCACTCTCCCCAACACACCAGAATTCCCATTATAGACCTAGCCCACCACACACATCGCCGGCTCACCAGGCCTCTTACCGTTTTAGTCCACCTCCAGTTGGTAGCCAAGGGAAGGAATATCAGAGCCCACCTCCTTCACCCCTTCGTCGTGGTCCTCAATACCGAGCCAGCCCTCCCGCAGAGAGCATGAGTGTCTACAGGGCTCAGTCAGGCTCACCAGTCCGATATCCACAGGAACCCAGCATCAGTCAACTTCCTAGTCGGCCAAAGTCTCCACTCTCTAAAATGACACAGAGGTCTTTCCAGATGCTTCCACTTCCTGTTGCAGTCCCCCAGCAAGGGCTCAGGCTCCAACCTGCTAAGGCACAGATCGTCAGAAGCAACCAGCCAAACTCAGCTGTGCACTGCAGTACTGTGATTCCAACAGGCACCTATGGCCAAGTAAGCCATTCAGTGGCCAACAAATACCAGTCTCCATCAGCAGAAATGGCTGTTAGCCAAAGCCGGCTGGTCTACCAGAGCTCTGTTGGGGGAATAGTTGGGGATGGGAGGCCAGTGCAGCATGTTCAGGCCAGTCTCAGTGCAGGGGCTATTTGCCAGCATGGAGGGCTGGCTAAAGAGGATCTTCCACAAAGGCCTTCCTCCGCTTATCGTGGTGGGATGCGATATAGCCAAACTCCACAAATTGGCCGTAGCCAGTCAGCTTCCTATTATCCAGTCTGTCATGCAAAACTTGATCTGGAACGGTCCTCTCTCCCCTCTACCCAGCTTGGTTCCCCTGACATCTCTCACTTGATACGAAGGCAGATGACAGTAAACCCCAATGAAATAAAGCCCCATCCACCAACTCCAAGGCCTTTGCTTCATTCTCAAAGTGTTGGCCTCAGATTTTCCCCTTCTAGCAATAGTATCTCCTCCACTCCCAATTTGAATCCCCCCTTCCGCCCTTCTGCTTCTATTCAGCAGATGGAGATTCCTCTCAAACCAGCCTATGATAGATCATGTGATGAGCTTTCCCCAGTCTCCCCAACACAAGGCGGCTACCCCAGCGAGCCTGCCCGCTCCAGGACCACACCTTTTATGGGAATCATAGATAAAACTGCCCGGACTCAGCAATATCCTCATCTACACCAACAGAACAGAACCTGGGCTGTGTCTTCAGTGGATACTGTTATAAGCCCCACATCTCCTGGAAATCTTCCCCAGCAGGAAACTTTTAGCCCACCTTCTTCTATCAGCAGCATTGCCTTTTATAACAAAACCAACAATGCACAGAACGGCCATTTGCTGGAGGATGACTATTACAGTCCACATGGGATGTTGGCCAATGGCTCCCGAGGAGACCTCCTGGAGAGAGTTACCCAGACCTCTTCATATCCCGATGTTAAGGTGGCCAGGACACTGCCTGTTGCACAGGCATATCAGGACAATCTCTATAGGCAACTTTCCAGAGACTCCAGGCAAGGACAGACATCCCCTATCAAACCAAAGAGACCATTTGTGGAGTCTAATGTGTGAAATGGATGTGTCTTGGAGTTAAGAGCCTTGTGTTTTCAGCACATTTTTCCCGGCTGAATTCTCATAATTATGTTGCTGTTTTTTCTTCCTTTTTAAAAAATTCAATTCACTAGTGGGTCAGGGATTTTCCTGTGATTTCTGTGTGATGACGAGGCAGTCCAAGACATGCTCCAAACCCTTTGCTGCACAGAGATGACCTCAGCTAAAGCCAGCAATGTAAATATTTTCAGCTGTTAGTCAATTTTTAGTACATGGTACTGGAGCTAACCCAAAACAGATTCAAACCACACTCAAAGGAGGCAACCAGCTCTTGGAAGAAGGCTTTATTGTTGGGAAATTGCACTCTTCAATCAGCACAGTGCTGTCCACATTGTTTCCTTGCACCCAAAGAGCTTGTTAACCTGTACAGAATGGGGCTTTTATTTTGTTTTTAGTATTAATAAGGAGCTATGCATTAAACCCATCCTGCTTATCTCATGTGATAGGATTGTACATTCGTGTTAAAAATTCATTATTGAGAATTTTTAACATCCTTGCTTGCCAGCATATTTGTATGGACTATCACGGGTAACATTGCTTTGGAAGGCATGTTCAAAATGATATATTTTTTTAATTTTCCCAGAAGCATTTCAGTAAATATTCAGGGAGAAATCGGTATCCTCCCTATTTTAGCCAATCAGTGGGTGGCTTGATCTGGATATTGAACATCCAATTCATTTTCAAATGGACTCTTTCTTTCCATATTAAAAAAAATACAAATTGGGTTAAGTCCCCAGTGCTTTAAAGCAGCCTTACTAATTTTCAGTTTCTAGGTGCAGTCATCATCCCAGACAACTGTCTGTGCTTACCTGAGAATGTTGGGAAGCACAGACTAGCATTCTTGGGGCAACTTCCTTAGAGAACGATGGGGAATGAGAAAGGTCCAGAATGTGATCAGATCTCCCACAGTGGCAGCTAAAGCATTTCCCATTACAGTTGTTTCTTGAGCAGAAATGTCTTGATCCATGCAGTAATTCCGATCTTGGAAATATTTTGGACACATTTGACTTCTTTGTTCTTCAGTAGTGGTGCACTACAACTTGGCTTATGTAGGATAATGTAATATGGGGTTTTTGTGGTAGACGTTGGACTACTTTTCTAGGCCAAAGTAAAAAAATAGCCAAGTGGTTAATTAGTGAAGCTTGATAGAATATCAGATGTACTAAAAAAAAAACCCAATGAGGATGTCTGGAAACAAGAAACAGTTATTACTACATGGAAAGGACCTAATAAAAGTAGTCTGTGCCATTTTATGTTTCCTTGGAAAGCTCTATGTACTACCACAGGGGAATGGATGGAGAGAATAATCTGTAAATCTATTTAGGAGCACAGCCCCCCCCCCCGAAAAAGCTGAAACAATCTCCATGGCTTGGAGATGTCAGAAATACAAACACGGACAGCACACTCTGCCCTTTTTGCATTTTGATAGCATAACATCAACCCAAATGCTACCCGTGAATTCAGTAGGATCTTTTCACTACACCTTGGTTGTGATGGGAGTAGGTAGCTCATCTCTTGGTTGCAGATTGAATTGATAGATTTTTGTTTCTGTTATTATTATTTCATATCAAAAGCATTGCATAAATTAGTATAAAACTGATAACAATAGAAGGTGTGCGGGAGGCTAAATATCTTTTGACCAAAACGGGCAACAGCAATGGCATTGTCTGTAGCCTCCAATAATTCCTCCTCTGTACATGAGGCAGGGCATAGTGGACAAGCATACAGATGTGGGGTTGTCTGTTCTGCTCCACAGTCACACAAGGTGTGGGATTCTTTTAGGTAGTGCCATTTTGCCAGGTTGTCTTTTGATCTGCTCACTCCGCTTCTGACTCTATTCAGGGACTTCCAGGTTGCCCATTCTTGGTTTGCCCCCGGAGGAAGAACCTCCAGTTGGGATTTCCTGATTGAGCTGCCCAGAGGGACACCCTTGCTGTTGCTGGAGGGACGCCAAGAGGAGTGGTAGTTCTCATAAAGCTTTTCCTTGATCTGAGTCTACTGGGAAGAGGCTGGTAGCCATGTAGTGGATAGTGTCCAACCTTATTTGTTTCTGTTGACAATATTTATAAAATGGCATTGTAGTTTCTGGATTATGCACTTTTTGCTTCTAGTTTATTTTCAATACATGGCTTTTCAGCAGTATAGGGCTGTCACAGAGAATTCACATCTTTTAAGAACGATAGAACACATATTTCCCTGAAAATCACAAAAAATGTTTTTAACAGTTGATTTGGGTTTTCACCCTTTATTTTATACATCCTTTTTCAGCTCTTTTATGATTAGATTCCAGAATCTGTCAGCATTAATAAAACATTGAGCAGTGAGGAGCATTTTTCTGATCAGGACAGCCTAAGACATTCCGGAGTCAACAAATCCATAGCTTTGCAGGTACTTCTTTTCAAGGAGGGCATGGTTTAAATGTTTTGACACATTCAAAGAAACTGTGTACCTTCGTATGACGTGAGTGGGTAGCCGAGATAAAGGAAGACACCACTCCAAAATTTCTTGCACTTATTCATGGATCAGATAAAACCACTCCCTGTTCCAGCCCCTTCCCCCTGTATTTTTGTGTCCCAAGGACACTTTTTAAAAGAGGGATGCTTTTTTTCTTCAGCATAAAGGGATCTTCAAGATTTCTGTGTCATAGAAATGTTTTCTGCTGTTTGAAACTCTAGAATGGGAATACACATCAAACGATATCTTTCTATGTGTTTATCAGGGATTCGTTTCTTTAATTTGCACATACTTGGGGACTGCTTGCTTCATACAGAAACTAAACCATCTTGTTGCAGAATGCAGTGCAAGATCAAAATAATTGTGCTTTTTCCTGGCCTGAGGGCTGTGACAGAAGAGACTAGTACCAAATTCTTCAGTACAGTTGATGCACATTGAGACACTGCATTTGCTTGTCTTTCCTGAGAAAGCAATTGGGGAAAACAACCAAATTTAGCCTCCTCTATTCCGTAGGAAACAGAGGAACAGTGCCGCTGTCATGCCGATTGTCTTTGCAATTTCAGAATGTGAATCTTTTTGATGATACAGTTTGTAGAGCCTTGAATTCTGCTCTGATCTTCACTGCCATGGGGTTTCCGGTCCTGTACCTGTTGACATTAAGCAGTCAGGAAAAGATGTCAGTAATAGGGTGCCATGCACATCTAAAATGGGGGCTTAATACGACTGTTGTGCAGGGAGTTCCCTTCCTGACTCCACAACAGTACTGTGTTATGATTCCACAGGGTTCTTGCACTGATAGATTTGCTGCCTGCTCTCTGTAAATGCAATGCGCTTTACAGTTACATTAGCTAAGTACTGGTTGTTTAAGCTTGATTGTTGTCTTCATTAGAAATACAGCAGAACAGCTGAGATCTTGTCTTTCAGTGTATTTAAACAAAGCAGAAGCAATGACTCAAAATATATAGCACAAATATTAGCTGTTGTGTATAAGCATCAAAAGTGATTTTTTTTAATATGAAGAGAAATATTTGCTGTGACTTAAACCGAACTCCCAGCAATTCTCTTTTGGAGTACTTGAAGCTGAATTGTTGCTGTTTTTAAATTATACATGTTGCCAAGTGAGGGGGCATTCATTGGGATTGGTAATGGGCAATACTTGGTCATGATATGTGTTGTCACCTTAAAAAATAGAGCACAGCTTAATTTATTTCACTGTCATTTCCTCAAGTTAAAAACCTTTGCAAGTGAGCTTCTCATACACAGGAAAGCGTTATAAAATAGGTAACATCAGAGAAACCTGAGGGCTCACAAATGAGTTAAAAGAGGCAGTGAAAAATAACAGTAACCCCCCCCCCCATCCAAATTCTCGTAAACATGCCAAATAAACCATGTCCTTGCAGCAACACTTCTACTTTGAATGTATGCTTATTTTATTTAAAAAATAACATGCGATTTTATGCTGAGGTTGCATCAAAGCCTTCATTTGCTTACTCGAAGCCTCATTCTAAAACTACAATCTAGATGCTGGCTTGTGGTTGAATCATGGTGCTTGAAACTGTGAATGTTGGATCATTGTTTCTGATGGCCAAAGGAAATGTGAGGCCTCAGGACCCTTTCTATCCCTACCAAGAGTTTTTGTCCCAACAAAACTCAATCCTTAATGCTTGACATGACATTCAAATAGCAGCTTCAGACAAATGTATTTTGTAGGACCAGAGCAGGGAGAGAAAGCTCAACTATCTCTCCCTGTTCTTCATGTTCCAACCTTGACAGCTGTTTACATAACAACTGTGCTTGTTAGCACTGAATCTAGTTTGCTCCCGAGTTTGCTCCCTAAAGGCTGCCTGGTTGCTTGCCACTGAGAATTTGAAATGGTTAGCTCCTACCAGGTCCTAAAAACAGGATGAAAGTCACAGTCCATTTCAAGCTCTGCTTGGCTTCAAGGAAGAAAGCTGTCACATGGCTTCAAAGCTGGTTGTTAGAAACGTTCTTATAGAATAAGATTCTCTTTTAAAAACCACGTTCACGGGAGAGGGGCTGAAGATAAGCTCTTTCCTTTGCAGGCTCAAAGGCAAGATGTGTCCACCAACGCAGAACATTTTTTCAAATACTAAGGCTGTGGGGGCTCTTTATGTGTTTATTTTTGCAAGCTTTGGGGAGTGGACAGCAGAGAAAGTGAACAAACCTAGGCATATTTTGAAAATCCACATCTCTAGACTGGTCTTGAGCAGCAGTTAACAAATTGCTAGGATCCCAGATCCACACAGGAAGAGATCTAGTAAAACAAAAAAACCGAAGTGCCAGCTCCTCTGCTCCTCTGCGCCTTACATATAGTAATGAACATCACTCCGTGCCTAGAAATTCTTCTCTGCTTAAGGTGGCCCCTTTCAAACTCTTCGGTAGCAGGCTACATCTCTCCCCATTTCTACCACCCCTCCCTCCATACATGGGAGTTCCAGGTCCTTCATCTCTCAAAGTTCAGCTTTTCAAAAGGGCTTAGAGCAAGCAAAATGAAATGTACCTCCATTGACATGTTCAATGCCTTCATTAAATTTATGATTGCTGTCAGGCTAAGAAGGAGGAATTTGGGACACAAGCACAAAGGGGTGGGAAACCTAGAGTCCCCCTCCCCAATTACTTGAATACTGTTGCTGAGTAATTTTTTGTCCCCCAACAACAAGAAGAAATCCTATTAAGGGCTGAACTTACACAGCAGGCTGTTGTGTGTGCAGTTGTAGATGGCTGGATTATTCTACAGAACCTCAACATAGTCTTGTTGATCTACTATATCAGGCTAGACCCTTTGCTACAAGTAAATCCCTGTAATCTATTTCTTCTCGCTAATCACTTGGAGCTGCTCTTGTATAACCACTTTCTCATTAGAAAGGCAGAGACTGCTAGCTGATTCTGTGTTGCTTCATTTGTGCACGTGAGAGGCTACTGAGAGAATGGGAGGAGGTTTTGCACTTTTAAACTTGCTTAGAAATAAAAAGTGAGATGTGACTTTTGTTTCCGCTGGCTGCCATCGCATTGAGTCATAAGAGAGGTGGGACAGTTCAGCTTTACTCTTGGACCTTCACCAGATCCTAGTTTGGATCCAGATGTATTCATACTCAGGCAGACCCGTTAGAATCAGTGAAAATAAAATGTCATGAGTCCCATTGGTCTCCTGTAACTGTGATTTCAGTAGGTCTCCTGTAACTGTGATTAAGTCTGGAATCAATCCTCTGAATCTCTTTCTTATAGGTACCCATTCTTACTTACCAATACTAATATTTCGACTTAATGCAAGGCACTAATCTGTATTGGTCCAGGGTTTGGGAGTATTTTGGAGGGGATGAATGTTTTGCTATTCTTAATGCACCAGTTAAATGTATTTCTCATTTCAATGGAGTTCTTTCATTGATATTTTTCTTCCCCTGGAGCATTGCAGCATTTTGCCTGCCTTGTCTGCCTCTGTACAATAACACAGCACTCCTTTGTATTAAAAACCTTTTTGGTTGTCCATCCTTCAAGACACTTGCTGGGAAGACAATTGTTTTTTTTTTCCTTTTAGCTTTTCTATAATTCTGATGTAAAGGATTTTCTCTGTACAGTATAATAATATTCAATTGCATGTTCTGTTCTCTTACTGATATATTGAATCACCACACAGTTGTGATCTTTTGCAGCAGGGCAGCCGCACAAATCCCTGCGCTTGGCTAAGGCTCTTGGCCACCCCTGTATAAAGGAAAGAAACGTGTTTCTTTCCCTTCACTGTACTTGCTTGAGCAAAGTTTTATTGTCTGTACATGTGAGCTGTGAGATAGACGTGGAAAAAGTTCAAAAAGAATGCATTCTTCCCTTCCCCTCCCTAATGTATACAGATTGTAACCTGTACAATGAACTGTATGTATGAAAAAAATGTACTTATTTATAAATGGTTAACACTTGGAAAATGGTGTGTTGACTACTGCATTCAACACGTCTGCTCTGGGATATCAAAGTAGGGGAATGGAAAAGGCTTGTGTGTTACCCGTATTACACTAGAGCAGGGGTCTTCAAACTAAGGCCTGGGAGCCGGATACGGCCCTCCAAGGTAATTTACCTGGCCCTTGCTCAGGGTCAACCTAAGTCTGAAATGACTTGAAAGCACACAACAACAATCCTATCTCATCAGCCAAAAGCAGGCCACACTTCCCATTGAAATACTAATAAGTTTATATTTATTAAAATTCTTCATTTTAATTATTGTATTATTTTAAAGTTTTTTTTGCACTACAAATAAGATATTTTTCAAATTATAATCTGGCCCTCCAACAGTTTGAGGGACTGTGACCTGGCCCTCTGTTTAAAAAGTTTGAGGACCTCTGCACTAGAGCTTCAAGAGTGGGCAAAAAGTATGCATCCCATTTGAAATCCTGTTGCTGCCTCCTGCAGAATTCTGAGGCTTGTAGTTTAGGGGAGGGACCTTTAAAATGCTCAGCCAGAAAGGTCCTGGGTCTAGTATGATAGTAACTAAATTACTAATTTACTCATGTCTTAATGAGTAAACCTGTATGTCAGCTCTTTGCAAACAACACATCTGTATTCACTGACTTCACTACTTCCACCTTAAAGGCCCTCGTTTCGTTGTCTCATGTCAATTTTTCCCAAGGTGATACAGGCAGCCCCACAATCCAACTTACTTATAACTCATAGTTAAGAATGGGGAGTGAGACAACAGTGCCTTGATGGCAAAATTCTGGTTGCAAAGTAGAGATCCATTCATAATGGGTGCATGCTAAGGTATATAACTAAAATGTAAATCCACTATAGAAGTGTATATGATTCACTTGATACACATGCATTTTACTAAGATTAGAAATAACCTGTTCTCCTTATTATCGATATAAAGTAGATGAAGTAAGAGATAAAATATATGAACATCTGACCTAAATCATGTTGCTAATCCCAACTAGAGTAGACACATTAAATCAATTGCTGAATAGTAAGTCAATATCTGTAAATCCCATAGTTGTGACTAGCAATTGGATTTAGCTCTTTGTATTTACACATTTCACTACACAATGCACATTTTTGAAATATTTTCTGGATTTTACATCCAAAAAAGTATTCCAAAATTTGAAAAGATGAAGTCAGAAGTATAAATACCTTCATCTCTATGCATTAGTTTAGGAAGTACAATTAGATGTGATTATTTTGAAATACAAAATGAACATACTTCTTCAACACCCTTAATCAATACTTCCATTGAGCAGAACTTCTGGTAAACTGCGCAATCAACATGCACACATTGAACAGCCGTGAAATTGTTAAATGAAGACATAAGGTCCTTTTTTGATAAATGTCTAATGAACTGACCACTGTGATAATACAAAAATTAAAAAGCTGGCATTGAAGGAGGGGGGAAAACTAGAGTTAACCATTGTTCAGATTGGAGGAACTATGTGTATCTTTACAGGAAAAAGGCAAAGAAAAACAGGAATCACACCATGGCCAAAATAATGCCACATCCTTCCTTCACAGGTATGTTAGTACTTAGGATGATTGCACGGTTTCAGAGACATATGATAGAGCATAGAGAATACTGTCAAAAATTGAGAGAAATTGAAGTGGTGCACTCACTATTTAAACTTGATTTGAATTCAACAAGATTTGAGTGGATCCTGATCAGAAAACAGCCCAATTCTGCTCAGGCTGGTGCTGTTTGCTAGAATTATCTGAAAATTTCAGGCATGTAATCCCTTATGAGGAGATTACGCCTGACAAATTTCATCCAAATATGTGCAGGAGATTATTCATATTGATTTATTAATAGAAACTGCCAATGACTTATAGAATTGGATGAAAATTGCAGAGAGTAACCTTTACTTCAGGGGATTCAGCTTCCTGAATTCATGCAGGGAGCTTTCTACAAAAACAGGCCCAGCAAATGTCATTGGCTTCAACTTCCATGATCCCTAATCATTCTTAGCTAGGGTTGATGGGAATTACAGTCCAATAATAATCCCAACGTACAGTTTGGAGGACTGGTGGCTGTTGTCATTTTTAATTTGTTTTGTGGGCAATTGTTATAAAACTGGAGGCGGCCCAAATTAATAAATCTGGACATTTGAAAAGGATGGTTGGATTAGACACAATATTTTTTTTGTGGATTAGGAGTATCAAAGTTGGTAATTGGGGAATGGTTCATTTCTTGTCCATCTCCATGTTTTTGTTTTTAATTTTATCTATACGAAAATGACATACCAAAACCTGCAGAGTTCCAGAAGGGCAGGTACAGTAATAAGGACTTCTTTATTTTATGTTCCGTTTATACCAAAGTCACAGTGAAATCTGCTAAGTAGATGGGAAAGTCTTTGGCAGAGGCAGAAAGTTACAAACATTCCACATTTTTCAAGTAGACTACCTATGCTACACCCTCCTGGACTATATGTTCCTTGACAAATCAGTCCTTAGATATATTTCAACTTCCCTGTTCAAAGAATGGGTTGAGAATCCCGACATAACATTAGAGCTTGGGAAGGTTATTTTGGGGAGCCACAACTCCCAAGATCACCCAACCCCTATGATCAATGGCTTACTCGCTGGATGATCCTGGGAATTTTAACTTCAAATCTCTGGGTCAAATTGGACTTCTCATCATCAAATCCCTACACTATATGAAGGATTCCATAGGATAGAGCCGTGGGTGTTAAAATGAAACCATAAGGATATAATTGTGGAGTGTGGATGCCCTCCTAAACGTTGAGGCAGAACCTCCTTCTTCAATCTTTCCTTGGAATACTGGACACTCTTTTCTCTTTCTCAAAAAGGTGAAAGCGGGTGAGTGTGCAAAGCCAGTTTCCAGGGATAGAGGAAGTTATCTATATGCTAATGAACTGTGTCCATTTAGTATTTCACAAGGCAATGTAGAATAGATTTCAAACAATTTTAATTTATGTACCGTATTTTCCGGCGTACTAGGCAACTGGGTGCATAAGACAACCCCCCAACTTTTCAATTTAAAATTTCAATTTTTGAATATACTTGCCCTATTAGACGACCCCTCTTGCCAGCCCTTCAGGCCCCAAAGCCTCCTTTCCTGGGCTTTGAGGCGGCTTCTCAGCTCCATAGAGGCAGCCTCCCCTCCACCGGCAGCCAGGCCCTGCCACAGCCAGCCAACCGCCGTTCTCATCACTTCCTGTTTTGGATCTAAAACAAAATGGAGGCTCCTAGCAGGCGTGGGAGGCGGGCAGCTGCCCTGCGCTGGAGCAGGGCATCCAAAGCATCAGCAGCTGCTGTGCTCCTCCAGCACTGCTTGTCTCCTGCTGCTGGGATTCAGCCTCACTGAGGGGCTCTTCCACTTCAGGCCCGCCTCGGTTGTCCGTGTGGTGGTGGAGGAGGCGATGCAGCTATCTGGCACGTGTATCACCTCCTCCTCTGCTGCCGCACAGACAGCCAAAGTGGGCCTGGAGTGGAGGAGCCCCTAATTGAAGCTGAAACCTGAGGGCTGTCCTCTGGCACTGCTTGTCTCCTGCTGCTGAAATTCAGTTTCACCGAGGGGCTCTTCCACTCCAGGCCCACCTCGGCTGTCCGGAGGAGGCAACGTAGCCATCCAGCGAGTATATCGCCTCCTCCTCCGCTGCCGCATGGACAGCCAAGGTGAGCATAGAGTGGAAGAGCCCCCTCGGTAAGGTTGAAGCCCAGCAGCGGGAGGCAAGTGGCATTGGAGGAGTGCAGCAGCAGCAGCTCCTTCGGGCACCCTGCTCCCCTGGGTTAAAAGCTAAGCTAAGAGAGATGGGGATGGGGGAGAACGTCTTTCTGTTTGTAGTTTGATAGGAAAGTACCACAAGCCTCTTGAATTAAAATTGGGCCTTAAAACTATCACCCTTCAGTATTTGCACTTCACAGAAATCTGTAGCACCATTCACAGTTGTTAGCAAAAATGTGCAAAGACGTGCAAAGAAAATATGCATATTCGTAGGGAAAATAGACAAAACTGAATACAAAAAAACTTCGCAAGAAGCATGTATTCAGCAATGTTCTAAAATATGTGTATGAGAAATGTGGAAGAACATACACTCCTTGGGGCAGACTACGAAGCAGGAATAGAGAAATAAAGAATATCGAAATGGTCAGATCCATTCTTTCACACCACAGAATTGCATTAAATTGATAGTTCTAGTGGTTACATATTCACACTCCTATTCATTGAGTTTTTACAAATATTAGGGAAAAGCTTTGTGGGGAAAAAGTTATTACAAACAAATACATGAACTAAAAATAGAACACGCCAAAAAATGATTCACTTACTTTGAAGAGCAGAAGCTCCAAGATATTTAGTAAAACAATGGGAAGAAAAGATCTGGAGCAGTGTTTCTCAACCCTCCTAATGTTGTGAACTTGTAATACAGTTCCTCATGTTATGGTGACCCCCAACCATAAAATTATTTTCGTTGCTACTTCACAACTGTAATTTGCTATCGTTATGAATTGTAAGGTAAATATCCGATGTACAGGAAGTGTTTTCATTCACTGGACCAAATTTGGCACAAATACCCAATACACCCAAATTTGAATACTGGTGGGATTAGGGTATGGATTGAGTTTGTCATTTGGGAGTTGTAGTTGCTGGGATTTATAGTTCACCTGCAATCAAAGAGCATTCTGAAATTCACCAATGATGGAGTTGAACCAAACTTGGCACACAGAACTCCCATGCCCAACAGAAAATACTGGAAGGGTTTGGTGGTCATTGACCTTGAGTTTTGGAGTGGTAGTTAACCTCCATCCAGAGAGCACTGTGGACTCAAACAATGATGGACCTCAATATGCCAAAATATGAACACAGATGGAGTTTGGGGGGAACAGACCTTGACATTTGGGAGTTGTAGTCACTGGGATTCACAGTTCACCTACAATCAAAGAGCATGCTGAACCCCACCAAGGATAGAATTTGGCCACACTTCCCATA